ACTTACCTTCAGGATCAGAAAGGATCCACAGTTATACAAACCTGACCTAGATTTAAGAGGAATCCGGTTAGGAAACAAAAGTTTGTAGATTCACTTTAAAATTTACTGGCGCCTGACATAATTTTTTCAATTTTGTTTTTATTAAATTTAAATTCTTTTTAATTATCTCCCACTTTCCTCAATTTTTCTAAATTTTGATATTGCTCGGGCATTACTTTCTTTACTTCGAACCTATCTCGGATGAGATAGACCCCAACACCTACGAACTCCACGACCCGCTCTAAACTGTATCGGCGTTTTTTGTTAAGGTCACCACTCAGCACCAACTAGAGTAAATAAAAAAAAAAAAGAAAACGATTAAAACGTTGACATAGCGACGCAACGTGTGGCTTGAAGTAGTTATACGAGCCCAAGTTGGTGTTTAGAAGCAATTAAAACGTTGACACGACCACGTTTTTATTTGAACGCTCGTTACAAGACACCTCTCATCTCGTGAGTCAAAAAATTTTATTAACTAACTTTTCTATTTAAACAAATAAGTGAGGAAAACAGTGTTTTCATTTAAATGAACGATAGCTTCATTTATTTGTTTAATAATAGTAAAATAATTCCGAAATTGAAATTTTAATTAATATTTCGTTTAACAATAATTTTTGTGACATTTTTGTAAATTAAAAAAATTTAAGTATAAAAGATGCATTTTTTCTGGGGTTCAGGGCTATTCTACGAATTCGTAAATAAGCCCATTGTTATTTTTTCGTCGAGCTACCCTGGTAAAAACAAAATAAGTTTCTACGATGAATAGAAGCCGAGATATTGCAAAATTTTACAGCACGCATCAATTTGAACTTTGGATTACACTTTTCTCGCTCGCGCGACTCGCTTGGACGATTTTCCCCACCACCACGCCGGACATTTTACTTAGCAAGTACCTTCTCTTTAAAGGGCTCGTGAGTCGTTAATTTTCCACATTTTTCAATGCAATTCACGGGAAATCGGAGTTTACGTCGTAAACTTTATTTCTATAAACAATTCCGCTACGATTTAAAAAAAATTCTTATATTGGCTCCTGTTGGTCGTAGAGGGTACTTTTTGTTTTTAAATTTGTATTTTTTTGCCAGCTATCCATTGCATCTATTTTCGGTGAGGTAGCATAAATAGCAACAATGTTATTCAAATTGTTTATAAGCGAAAAAGGCACGGTTTTTTAATGCACAATTTGAGAATGTTAATGTCAAAAGAACGGTGATATTTTTTAATAGGTCGCTTAATTGCGTCTTTAAGATTACAATGACGCTTTCAGAATCATGTTTGGTTGAAAATTAACGCCTGTACATAGGCTTGAAGTTCATAACTTTTGGAGCCTCCTTTATAAACAACTTGAATTGTGCGAAAACTAGTGCACCTACAGCGCCCACTTTTGGCACACTTTTGTGTATGACAAAACCCTCAACTTGTCATAGGTTTCATAAAATTTTAACAACAAATGCGATAGTTATAAACAAATTAAAAAATGGGCCCTTTTCTGTTTTTTTGCAATAACTTTTTTGTTTATTAACCGATTTTAATTTAACAAGTCTCATTTTGTAGATAATTTTATTCCCTACAAGCTGTCTGTGAATTACTTTTCGCTAAAATTGATGGTTTTCCCTGCAAAGTGAAAAAACTGTTTTCCTCACTTATTTGTTTAAATAGAAGAGTTGGCTAATAAAAGTTTTTGACTCGCGAGACGAGAGATGTCTTGTATTATGTTCCTTTAGACAATTTTACAATAATCTCGCGGATAGGACTTTTTTCGAGTAAACATTTTATTTGCCTGGCCTATAAGTGCATTTATGTAAAATAGCAAAAAAATTAAATTTTTTGCAATTTTGAGTTTTTCAAAAAAAAATCATTTTTTTCAAGTGTTTATAAATCATAAGTAATGCACTTATATGATTCATCTTTCTTATCATTGAAATTTAATCGGAATAGCATTATTGCCATTTGAAAGCTGATATTTTTTCACAAATTAAAAAAAAAAAATCTTTTTTTTTTCAAAAAATCACAAATACCTCATTTATTAATATTATAGTCTGAGATTTACACATGTTGTAGTTGAATACTTTTACTTCAATGTAAAAAATAGTCCACAATCATTCATTGACCCCCTTTTTGAACGATGCATGATGCGTGTGGTGGGGGAGAAAGTCACTGATAGAAACTTTATAAACATTTTATCGGACTATTGTTGCAAAATTAACCTTTTTTTGGACAGAGTTTGCTTTTAAACAAAACATGTCTTAACGCCAACGCCTACTTTTGAGGTTGGCAATAAACTTCAACAATGCATTCATTTTGACAGACGATTTTTTGCAGGTCCCACCTGTTTTAAATAAATGTTTATGTTACAAACTTAAACAAAATAGTATATTATTTAACGAGCGTATAATGTAGGCTATATTACACGAGCCGTAGGCGAGTGTAATATAGCCATTATACGCGAGGCAAATACTATACTTTATCTACGACTTGGTATCCGGTGTTTCAGTTATAAATTTGTATATTTCATCTCCAGTAAATGCCTTTGATTTCTTGGGTTGGTAGCCTTCTGACTGCCTTTTTAATAAACTCGAACTTTTGCGTAAGATTCATATTATGTTTAAGGTTAAGTGTGCTCTTAAGCATGGAACAATGGCTCCACAATGTAGACGATTTACATTTTTTTGTCAATTCCTTGAAATATACCAACAAAGTGTCTTCGGAAAACGAATTTGTGACAATTTTTAGTCGCCAGTCCATAAAGCTGTTATATACAATTGTGTAATTTTTTCGTGATTTCTCTGGAAGTAATTCCAATGATGCTAATTTCGCGGCTTCACGAATTTCAGGAGGGGTGCATCGAATTTCATTTTCACTGTCAGAATTAAACTGCAAAATTACTGCAAAAGTCAAAAATGTTTTATTTTGCGAAGTGTTGTCAAATCAATTACATTAGTTACCATAGTAACAATAATTCAAGCAAGCTCGATTCTATTTTGTAGCGCGGTCAGAAGCTATAAGGGATACGTATAAAAATTCATATTCCACACCTGTGGAATATGAAACTCATATTCCACGGGTGTGTAATATGAGTTACATTATGTACTTACTATCACAATTATAATGCGTCTATTATTAAATAGTCGTAGATAAACAATGTTTTTGGTGAGCATAAGCCATATTTAATTGTTTTATCTCTGTAAGCACCGTTGAGATTTCGCCAATATTGCCATTTTGCCAATTTTAACTTTATAAATATTTTCGACAGACGTTGATAGAAATACTTGTGGCGCGTTTGGTAAAACAAAAACACCCGTTCGTCTTAAGTTCGAACCTTACGAAATACTGTAAACGCGTCTGCAAATGTATATATGTCGAATTGCGTTGTATTTTCATAAAAAAAACATCCTTGCTAAGGTCGACGTCGTTTTTGGGCCGAAAATAAACGTCCATCTGAGCATATCGAAGCGTTTATTGACATTTCAAGTGGTCCACGCTTCCCGAAACACTGGGGCGTCTGTGTTGGAGATACTATGGGGTTATTTATATTTATGTATATCATTTTGGCGGTGGAACTAGAATGCGCATAATTCGCGATAATTGCGAATGCAGAATGGATAAAAATATCGGAGGCGTTAAAAATAGTTCTGCCGATTGCCCACGACTTTTAAAACATAAATTGTTTATTTAAATATTTATTGTGTTTATGTACAATACACCAGTTCTTGCTGTAAACTATTTAAGATATTTTCTTAAAATGTGAATGTATATTTTTTAAAAATGGAGTATACGATAAACACATTGTTTGAATAAGCTCAAGTAGTCATTAAAAAATTAAAAGAATTAAGTTGCTCTTCGTTGCTATGCAACCAGCAATACAATGTCGTGATTTATAAATTGCATATACTTCGTAAATAAATAGAACTGCAGAAGTTTCTTTACAAAGATGCCGCCAGTGCCGCCACATTCTCACATTTTTCCCTTTCTTATTTCCCTTCGTTTCTGTCCATTTTTCTCTTTATTATTATTCATAATGATAAATTAGCTAATGGCTAATATTAAATCAAAGAGTAGAAATATTACACTTTGATTATTTAAAAGTCGTTGTCATTTTAAAGAGCTGACCGAATTTATTTATTACGTTACATCACTAAAATAGTTTCTGTAATGATGCAATAGGTCATTATGTAGGTACTTTATACCTAATTAAATATGTATTTTGCTCGTCGCAGTTAGAGGTTGCATTACTGATGAGGATATCCCATAAAAATTGTGGTGCGTTCAATGGGAATTACAATTAAATAAAATACATGATTTGGTTTAAAAATAAATTCGAAGCCGATTATTAAAAATAAATATTTGTGCCTAGATTTCGCTATACTATGGACTGCTGTAAAATGTTTAATTTTCAAAAGTTGGTAGCCCTGTTAAAGTAATATGGCCGCCAAATTAATCAGTTGTGCTATATCATCTACGCGAAATATTTAGCCAAAAATAACGAAAAGTGCGCAAAATAAACATAGAAGAAAGTGTTATTTACTTGTTTTGACTGTTTTATTAATTTTAAAGAACCAAAATGAAGATCACCCTTAAGAATCTACAACAACAAACTTTTGTAATTGATATAGAACCGACAAAAACGGTGAGTAGTTTTTTTAAAACAGAACGCATTATCTTCAACAGTGGTTATTGCAGGTCAGGGAACTAAAACAGAAAATAGAGAGCGAGAAGGGTAAAGACTACCCCTCAGATAACCAGAGACTGATTTATGCAGGTTAATTTTTTATCTACTTTTTTTTTGTATTGTCATGATGAATCACTGGTTCTCTTGTAGGTAAAATACTTACAGATGAGACAGCTCTCTCGGAGTACAACATCGATGAGAAAAAATTCATCGTCGTTATGGTCACGAAACCCAAACAGCCGGAGAAAACGGAAAGTGGCGACGGCAATGCAGCTGTGACAACCACAATGACAACAAGGTTAGAAACTGTACTCTTGCATATCAACGACTATTTCACCAGTCATTTTACAGCACAACTCCTACCCCGGCAACCCCTCAACCAGCCCCCACCCCTGCTCCTACAGAGGAGACAACGCCGACGCCGCCCGCAGAGTCAGCACTTGCCGACGTACCATCCACAATCAGCAGTGCTGCCGAGTCTGCCCTCTTAATGGGCGAGGACTACGAGAACATGGTGAGAAACATAATGGACATGGGCTACGCAAGGGCCCAGGTCGAGTTAGCCTTAAGGGCGAGTTTTAACAACCCCGACAGAGCCGTGGAGTATCTCATCAACGGGATACCCATAGTGGATGTGCAGGATGCTGTGAGTAATCGTCTCTTTTGAATAAAGTTGAAAATATCGAGGAATTTTTTTGTAGGTAAACGAATCGGCCGACATGTCTGGCGTGGACGAGAGACAGTCCGACGCGGACGATCCTCTGGCCTTCTTGAGGAACCAGCCGCAGTTCCAGCAGATGCGGCAGGTCATCCAGCAGAACCCCCAGCTCTTAAACGCTGTATTGCAGCAGATCGGTCAGACGAATCCCGCTTTGTTGCAGTTGATTTCGCAAAACCAGGAGTCGTTCGTGAGGATGCTCAACGAACCGTCGTCCGGCAATCCCAATCCCGCAGCCAGTACCGTCCCGTCAGGTAAGTTTTTTAGTTTACAAAAAACATCCGAAAATTAGCCTGCGGTATTTTACCTGCGCGTTATGCGATTGGACATAAAATAGTGTTTTTGTGGATGCTGGCGAGAAACGGTAACTTTTTATGTTGTGAATCAAGTGATTAAAAAATAATTCCAAAATTTTCTTCAAAGGCTTCTCGGATCGTGGAAAAAAATTAATTTGAAAAATGTGTTACTTGCTGGAAATATATGAGACGGAATTTTCAAACACGCAGTATATGTTTCAAAACAATTGACAGTCGCTTTATTTGAAAAAAAAATTGTAAAAATTGTTTTTTTTTAAACCTTTTATATAAACATATTAAACAGAATTTACAAACACACAGTATATGCTTTCACAATAATCGATTGTCAGTTTATATGATACAAAAATCGTGAAAATTTATTTATTTTACATTTTTTTTTTTCGTAATTTTCACACCCAGGCAGTAGACAGGCAAGTATAACTGCAAAAATTTACTAAATTTGGAGCTACGGCGTGCATTGTTGTCAAATTTCACCTTTCTCGATTCACATACAGAAATTTTACAATGAAGATACACAAACACATTTACTAAACACTGAAATAAATAACTACAAGTTTATTACGCTACAAAAGACTCTTCACGAAATACCACTTTAAATTTTACTATAAAAAATATAGCAGCTTGTTTTTTGCCCGCCTAGCACCCTGTTGTCATATCTCATCAGATGGATTAGTATTATGTAGTTCACCTAGAGTAGGTCAGTGTCGGAGGTCATCAACACTGTGATTCGCAAACTAAACACAGTGCTTTAAACAAATTGTAACACACCTTTTATTAAAAACTTGAATTGGTGGAAAATATTTTAAATCGGATTTTATAAAACATCGAAAATAATTATTTTACAAAACAAATTAGTTTTACTTTAAAAAAATATTGTTCTTTAAGGACGCTTGAAAATGATTGTAATTATTGCCGTTTCCTTCGCTTGATAAAGAAATATAGTACCTTCAAAATAACATGTCCCAAAGTTTTTACGAAATTGTTTTTAGTCTTGGAGTTGCCCAGTGACAGAGTAGACAAGAGTTTAATGTGGTTAAATTTAATTAAAAAAAATAATAAAAAATTCATATTAGTATAATTCTTTTTTTTTTAATCCAATAGTTGAGTTATAATTAGTTTTTTTTAAACACACTTTAATACTTACGTACACCGCCACTGTAATATTCATGTAATACAAATATATGAATTGTTGGCAACCTACAATGCATGTGAAGGGAGATAGTGCAGTGACGAAGCGAAAGTCGTCAGTTGTTCCGCATTTGGAGATAGTGAGGCATCTAATTGTGAATTTGATTAAATGTTTCATCGCTTGAAGCCATCAACAGACTATTTATTTTTGTGTAATTCATTTATCATAGATCTTTCAGATTTTTCTAATGTTTCTTCATAATGACATTAAATGCTCTTTTTTAGTCAATTTTCTGCATTTTCAAGACTTTCCATTAATTAAATTGGCTTACAGTCTAGAACAAACATATTTCTGGCATGAAACATTTTTAAGTCAATCAACATTTTAATATAATGATTTGACTATAATCCAGAAACCTTTTAAGTAATATTGTGTGAAGCAACTCTCTACAGCATTGACCTCAGTATCTGTTAAATAACTAATTCGTCAGCCATAACCACCAGACATATACTGGTTTTATATTAGTTTTTATCGGGATGCTGTAGGTGCGATAACTGACATGACTTAATTATTTGTATTTTTATCTACTGAACGTTTTGAGTGTCGTTAAGATATAACCTATAAATTTATCATATTCAGATTAGTAGGTCTCTTGCGGGTAGGTACAAAGTAACACTTTGTACCAGTAGGCATTGCACTAGCAATGACATTTAAGACATGACATATACTTTGTAGGTTATGTCCCACCCTCGCTTGTGATTCAAAAGTTACGTTTATAGAAAAACAATCTTCAATGGCTCCCCTTTAGGGGGTTGTAACCCTGTGAAAGGGGTTACGACATGTTTATATAAACGTCTTCTTTACTTTTGTCTTAGACTGCGCTGGTAAAATATCGCTGGCTAATTTCGTCACGTTACACTCCATTTAAACCGTTTCTTTCAGGTGGGGCCTCGCTCGGGTCCCAGGCGGCCTCCGGGGGCGCGCCGCAAGGCATGATCCAAGTAACACCCCAGGACAAAGACGCTATCGAGAGACTCAAAGCGCTGGGTTTCCCAGAGCACTTGGTGGTGCAGGCGTACTTCGCCTGCGAGAAGAACGAGAACCTCGCAGCAAATTTCCTACTATCTCAAAATTTCGACGAATAATTACGCTTAAAAATTTTTTTAATTTGATTTTTTAAAGCTTCCCACCCGATCCCGAGGTCCGTTCGGCGTCGATTTAGATTCGACGGCGGGTGGTTGGTCTCTTTAATCCAATTTTTTTTTTTTCTATTGTAATATTCAATTAAAGCCCTGAGTTTGAGGTTGTATTGTACTGTAACTTGCTGTATATAGGCTCCAAATAAAATTAAATAGAAAATTCCGCTTGAAACTTATTCATGTAATATAACGTAGCGACTTTTATAATGCCACTAATGCAGTTATTTAATTAATTTTAATCGTTCTTCTGTTCCTTTCCTGGCTACTATGATGTTATAGTAAATTCTAGGAAATATATTTAAACAGTGCAATGTTTTTCATTTGTTTTTTGTCACCTGTGTGCGGGCAGATCACGGTAGGTTTGGAAGCATTTGAAGAAGGAACTTGGCAATTGCAGGCTACAAGCTAATAAAATGTTTTTTCTCACTTTGACACATTTTCCAAAAAAAAAAATTAGTGTAGTTGTGATAAAATGCTCGTTAGTTTTTCAATTGAAAAAATATAAAAACAAAACAGAAGTTCGTTGTAAAAGTAAAAATATAAAGACAAATAAGAATTTGTAATATAAAAATTAAAAAATCACCTACTTATCCTAATTTAATCTATCATAACCTCACTTAACCTTTCCTAACCTAACATAACCCGAGAGAATCTATTCCAAACTACATAAAAGTGAAAAATAAGTATCGCAAAGGACTACAACGAAGAATTAGAACAATTTCAGTTGAGCACGAATTAATAAAACTAATTCCGCACCATGGAAGAATAAAATACCAAAAATTTCTGCTTTGATCAAAACTTCCAATGACACAATAGTTTCCAAATAATTATATACAATTTTGACATATTTCCGAAACAATGGATGTGGCGTGGAAAATAAATATAATTAAATGTTTCATACTATTGTATATATATGGTGTCCTAAAAAAACTGCTTCCGCTGCTTTCTTTAGGAAGGAGAAACACATTTTAGTTTTGTAAACCGCCACAGAGCTTCAATTTTGCGCTGTAAATGTTACCACCAACACTGGCACATAGGTAGCGCTTTAATTGCCAAAACAGTTGTCAATCCTTGAAACTTTGGAACTTTTATTGAGAATTTGATTTCTACTGCTCTTATTTTTAATAAAATCAAGTACAAAAAAATAGCTATGCAAAACATTAGTTCGTTATGGCGATCATCTTGAAATAAATGAAAAAACATGAGCTGAAGGTAACAATAAATCATCCACGCCTAAAAATATTTATAAATGTTGAGATTTTAACGTAAAGTAAAAAAAAATCCAAACATCACGATTGTTTAGAGCCGGATTAGTATAACATTTGTTGTCATAATCTCTGTTTACTTACGCCGCGTGTAGTATTTACTTTAGGACAGGTAACGTGTGCGGCCTGCTTTAGTTTAGGAATTTTGACCCTTCGACCAACTCTGACTTGACTTGGAACTTGGAAGATTCGGAGTTGCGGCGCGTGCGCGTACTAGCGTTGGTAAATGCAACGGGAAGTGCGGACGGGTTGTTTATAATTTCTCACTAAAAATATGGTAAAATCAAATGAAAATTTTCATCCACGTACGCGTCCGTGCATAGTGAAGTGAATGGTTAGTTTTAAGGGGTTTTCCGAATGGTAAAATCAGTGATATTTAACGGCAATGTTTGTTTTGCATACGTGAGGTTTAGTGTGTCAATCATGGCCGCCTGAAAAATTTGACGATCAACAAATTTAATAAAGTAGTAATTTAAAGAAACATGTAAAAACTGAATAAAGAGTGGTCCGGTTCACGTTTCACCGCTGAATAGTTGTGATTTAGGACGTATTTTTACTAGACTTCTATCAAAATGGCGGAGGCGAACGTTCCCAGGATCCCAAAGTAAGTTATTTACCATTATGAAACATCGTGAAATTTACAATGTTTTGCTGCAGAATCATGGTTTTCCGACCGACATGGGAGGAATTCAAGGATTTCTCCAACTACGTAAAGCACATGGAGTCGAAAGGAGCACACAAAGCCGGTTTGGCAAAGGTAATTTACATATATTTGAAACAAACGATCACGGTCACCCTTTATGTCCCCCTCGATACATTTTTGTGTATTACGCAGGTTATACCGCCTCCTGAGTGGGTTCCCCGAAAATCTGGCTACGACGTACAAAACCTCGACATCTCGATCCCCGCCCCGATCTGTCAAGTCGTCACCGGCAAACAGGGCTTGTACCAACAGATCAACATCCAAAAGAAGTCGATGACGGTGAAGCAGTACCGCGATCTAGCCAATTCGGAAAGGTATGCCACGCCTAGACACTTTGATTACGAGGATTTGGAGAGAAAATATTGGAAGAATATCACTTACGTCGCTCCTATTTACGGAGCCGACGTTTCGGGAAGTTTAACAGACAATGACGTTAATGTGAGTAGTCGTTGTAGTAAATTAGGTGTTTTCACGACGCACGATTTTTAGGAGTGGAACATCAACCGGCTGGGAACCATCTTGGACTTTGTGAACGAAGATTACGGAATATCCATCGAGGGTGTGAACACGGCTTATTTGTATTTCGGGATGTGGAAAACCACTTTCGCTTGGCATACCGAGGACATGGATCTCTACTCGATAAACTACTTGCACTTCGGTGCGCCCAAGACTTGGTAAGTGCGAGTTTTTTAAACGATTTGTGGGTGTGCATTAATTCTTTTTGTAGGTATTCGATTCCTCCGGAACACGGAAGGAGATTGGAGAGGCTGGCGAACGGTTTCTTTCCGGGTTCTTATAAAACTTGCCAGGCGTTTTTGAGGCACAAGATGACCCTCATTTCGCCGCAGATCCTGAAACAGTATTCTATACCGTACAACAAGGTAGGTTTTCTTGCTTTTTTTTCAGGGTGTTACGATTTTATTTGTTTTGTAACGTTGTGACTAATGTTTGTGCCGTTCTTCATAATTTACAGTTATTAAATAATCCATTAAATGTCGTGATAAGATAAAGTCAACGAACAATACTCATTGATATATTATTCTTTGTAAATATTACAAGACATTGAAATCTCTGTTTTGGCCGAAAATAATGCACAAAATATACAGGGTGTTCGAATTAAAACTTCCCGCCTGGGAAATATAGAAAAAAAACCTGTGACGTCAATTTTCTTTTCAATATTTTCATAAATAGAATAATTTCCTAAATTTTCCCAATCAACCATTATACGGAGGTTATTTTTTCCCTATTAATATAACACGATACAGTTTGAGACGTATCTACTATTAACGATCATAAATAAAGAGATATTTTAGACGTGCCTTATCGGTGTCTTTTTTTAGATAACGCAGGAAGCGGGCGAGATAATGATAACGTTTCCATATGGCTACCACGCAGGTACGTACACTTTCAATCACTTTTCTCCCGTTTGTGACACGTTTTCCCCCCGACAGGTTTCAATCACGGCTTCAACTGCGCCGAATCCACCAACTTTGCCCAGGAGCGTTGGATAGAATACGGCAAGAGGGCATCCCAGTGCACCTGCAGCAAAGACATGGTGAAGATATCCATGGATACGTTTGTGAAGCGGTTTCAGCCCGACAGGTGAAGGACCCTCCGGAAGCGAGTGAAACTTTTTCTATATCGTAGTATTTCAGGTACGAGATGTGGCTGAAGGGTGAGGATATCGGTCCGCACCCGGAGGAGCCCGATCGCAAGGTTGCGGCGCCCCTCCCTCTGCCCCAGGACATTCTCTGCAACAAGAACAACCCCACGTTGCCGCAGAGCTTCCTGGAGGCGCCCAAGAAGGCCTCGAGGAGGGGCCGCATGGCGGCGTACAGCCAGTAAGTGTTCGGACGTCTTCACGTTTTTTTTTATTTGATTTTGACTTAATTTTGCATCAGGAGCTTTTCGATGTCCGAGTTCCCCGCCGCCCTGCAACTGGAACTCATGGAGGAGGACAACATGGCGTACGGGGCGGAGGATCTGCCCCCCGACGAGCAGCAGCTGGAAGTCCTGGAGGACATCTGGCTCAAGGCCGGCGAAATAGGTAAGACGCCGTCCGTTACGTCGAAAACTCCGTTAAAACTGTGGAATTTCAGAGGCGGAAGACGCGATGATATGCGACGCCGGATACAACGTGAAGAAGAGCCGTAAGTACTTCCAGAAGAAGAAGAGGGGGCCGCGGGATCCCAACAAGCCGCGGAAGGAGAGGAAGAAGCGTGACGACGACCGGAACAAGTCGAGGAAGGAGGATAGCGGCACGGACGACCTGACGGGGCTGTACACCACCTGCGACAGTAAGAGCAAGAAGGTTTGCGGGAAGATCGTGGCTCCGATCGAGCTGGACAAGCAGAACCTCGACACGGCCGAGCTGGTCAAGTCGTTGGTGGCGCAGGAGACGAGCATGCTGCTCAGCCACAAGAAGAAGCACAAGCACAAGGACAAGGACCACGAGCACAAGAAGCATAAGAAACGTAAGTTGTATTCCGAACGCTTGGTATTTTTTCTGGTTGTTTGCTTTGTTTGTTCTTCCTTCAAACTAACTTGTTCACGCTTTGAAAATTTGTGTATATCTGACTTGTTTTTAGTTTTTTTTTTATTGTTATTATTATCGACGGTGTTTGGAAACTGTGAACGAAAAATTTAGGGGGTGATTCTACTCTTTAAATAATTGCTGGTTGAAAAAAAAAAAATTACCCTATAAATTATAATACATAATTTTAGCGGGTTGTTAAAAATCTGGTGGAGTAGTTCAAATGTCTCAGTTGCAGATTTTTGATAATATTGAGGCGAAGATTAAAATTTATACCCTGTATATTCCATTCCATGGTAGAAATATAATTTTTAACTTCATATTAATCTGTATACGGCGATGGTTTTATTTATTCCGTGTTCTCCGAGTGTTGCATGTATACAGGGTGTGCCATTTAACACTCCCGCTTCCAATATCTCTGAAATGAAGAAATTTATTTTATTTCCGGAAACTGGGTTGTTATGTCCCTCGAATAGCTTCAAATTGTACTTAGAACTGCTAGTTCAAATCTTTTTGTATAGATGGCGTGGCGATATTAACAAATTTTTTGATCTCTGGAACATGGAAATGCAGTCCGTCCGAAAGATCGTTAAATTTTGAGTAATTTTCGTAATATAAAGTTTTTCCCTACTTTTACTTGTTTTCGAGATTATCGACTTCAATACGCAATGTATTATGTAAAAGGAAGATCTATTATTTTATCTAAATCACGCCCAGGCAAAATACTCTTTTAAAATATTGTTATAATGGCTTTATTCACACCACATACTAACAAACAAACAATAAATTATATGATGATCAGCTACAGAAAAAAAAATTGTACAATGGTAAATCTTGTAAGGGGCAGAGACGAACCGTATTTTATCAAATGTTATTAAAAAATGTAGTCATAGGTGGCTCATGTCATTTGTTTAAAATAAAACATGTATGACAGATGACACATATTAGTTTTCCAATAATTACAGTTTTGTCAGTTTGCGTCTTTCAATTTAACTATACTAGTTGATCATTTGTTTTTTTTTTATAATCTATTGTTTGTTAATTAGTATGTGGTGTGAATAAAGTCATTATAACAATATTTTAAAAGAATATTTTGTCTCGGTGTGATTTAGATAAAATAATAGATTTTCCATTGCATATTGAAGTCCACATGTCTTGAAAACAAGTAAATATAGGGAATAACTTTATATTACAAAAATTACTCAAAATTTAACGATCTTTGAGATGGATTTCCACGTTCCAGGAATCAAACAATTTGTTAGCATCGCCACGCCATCTATACAGAAAGATTTGGACTAAAAATTATAATTGCAATTTGAAGCTATTCCAGGGAACTAACAACCCCTGTTTCCGGAACTAAAATAAATTTCTTCATTTCGGAGATATTTTCAGCGGGAACGTTAAATGGCACACTATGTAGAGCGTGACGGTAAGTGTAAAAAATTTTGAACGCCGGCCGAAAGTTGGTGCATGTTCGGTAACTATTCTAGGTGCATTCAGAATGGCTCCAAATCAAACAATATACAAGGCAGACCAAACAATTTTTAGGAAATTACGTAAAATTAGTTGTATTTTAAAAAATTCCTCAAAATGTTAATAAAAGTTTTTTATAGTTAAAAGAAATGTAAAGCTTAAATGCAAAAAATTAAAGGGTCAAAAGCATTTCCGAAATTTTTACGTGATTTTTGACAAGACTATTTGGGTGAAAAATAGTTGTATCGAGAATTTGAAACTCTTAAGATTCTAGTTTTTAGATCTTTTAATCGAAATTTTTTAGGAATGACGGTTATCATGCAATTCTAAGAAATAGCACGACAAAAAATTTTTGCAATTTTTTTTTTCAATGTCCACGGACTTGGAAATAATTTTTTCAGCTAAGCCATTGCATGGACCAGATAGCTTGTTTATTGAACTTCAATTTCCTTTTTTTTTAATTTCAATACGACCATTATTCATCGAAATGTCGGACTTTTAATGGAAAGTTATCCTTTTGTCTTCAATCATCGATATCTCGGCGACAAATGTCCGTACAGAGAATTGAAGGGCAGTTTCGAAAACTGGAATAAATTTCCTATAACGTGCTGCTGCAACTTTTCGGAAAGAAATTTTTTTGATCTTTTACAGGGATTTTAAAAAACAGGAAAAAAGGGTAATTTATGGTTTTTTAGAAAATTGACGGCTAAATTAGAAATATTCACAAAATGACTAGTGTTAAGCATGATTTTTACATTTTGATATTCCCAGAAGAACCGTGTGAAGTTTCATTGCGATCTAGCGAACCGTTTCTTTGTTTCAAACTTTTGAAAAAAATTAAAGGGTCACGTTTTTTGGGTAAACCCTTCATAATCATGATTAAAATTGGAAAAACAATTTTTTTGAGGTTTTCTCACGTTTTTACCGTAAATAACGTTTAAATTGATGGAAAAAAAAATTGATAAATTTTTGCAATTTTTTTAAGTTTTTTTCTTTTTGGAAAGTTTTCCAGACATTGAAGAAAACAAAATTCAATTTTTTCCAGCATGATTCGGCTTTTTCGTTCTATGCTTCTGTTCATCAACTTTTAAATAAATTAAAATTAAAGTTGACCCAAACTAGATTTCGATTTCGATTCGTACCGTTTTTTGAGACAAATTTTGAATTAATTTTTGTGCAGTCTATTGATTTAAAAAAGTTTTTTCAAAACTACATACTTTCTTTTCTGAAAAAAATTTGCAAAATGTTTCTTTTTTCATCAATTTTAATTCAATTATTGTGGTAAAAATGTGAAAAAAATCTCAAAATTTTGTTTTCCCATTTTAATAATGATTATAGTGCTTAAGCTCAAAAATTGTGACCCTTTAATTTTTTTATGCTTGACGTTAGTCATTTCATGAATATTTCCACCATATTATATTACCCTGTTATTTCCCCGTTTTTTAAAATTTGTGCAAAGGATGAAAAAATTTTAATTCCTGATACGACCATTTTTCACCTAAATACAGTGTCGAAAATCAGGTAAAAATTTCGGAAATTCTTTTGACCCTTTAATTTTTTGCATTAGTATATTTGCTGTTTTTCGGTGATTTTTTTAAAATGTCCCCTTTAATTTTTTGTACGTAGTTTCCGGGCACCCTGTATGTGCTTTTAAACACGCTTTTTTTTTAAGAAAATCTTTATTATCCTCACAATAAAATATATTTGAAAAAATACATTCTTTACCCGTATTTGCGGCACTAAATTTTAGTATTTAACTTTTAAAAAATGATAATAAAGATTTTTGAGCTTAATATGTTTACGATCTCCCGCAGCGAAGACCCTTGATGCTTTACAGCGTACCCCCTATTAAATAGCTAACAACCCGCTTGTACATATTAACAGAAGCCCGCCGGTGTAACGAGATTATTAAATTATTGAATGCACTGTGTAATACGATAACTTGAACTGGCAGGCAAGCATCACAGCTCGAACGCCTCCTCGGTGTCCGACTCGGACTCGATCAAGACGGAAAAATCCAATCCCGAGGTCAAAGAGGAGATCGACAGCATCATCAGGGCTGCCGCCGAGGAGCACGAGCAGTCCCTGCTCGAGTCTTCCCCCGCCAATCAGTCCACCGGTTTCGATATATTGTCCGACCAGCCTAGTCCTTCCTTCCTCCCTAAGTCCACCACGTCCGACCTGAAGCTGTTCAGGAGACCCAAAGAGACCAAGAAGCTCCTGAAGAGTAAGGTGCAGACGATAAAAACCTCCAAGGGCATCATAACCGTGCTGGAGGCCAATCCGATAATAAGCAAACCCAAAGAACCTCCGCCCGTTACAACTTCTGCCGCGAAAAAGGGTCCGAGCTTGTACGAGAACGCTTTCCTGAGCTTCTTGTCCAGTCAGCTGAAAGAGGACCCCACAAAGAAGGACGTGAAGCCGAAAGGCAAGAGCGTGAACCCCATCAAACCGCTTCCAAGGGTGGAAGTCATCTCCGTTCCACCTAGAACCGCCACAACTCCGACGGACTTGTCGAAACCAACGTCGACCGTCTCCGCAGATATTAAAAATAAACCCACGACTCCAAATAATGCCCCGACGGTCAATACCACAGCATCACCGTACGCTAAAGGAAATATTTCCTCTTTACCAAACGCTTTCACGGCGAGTCTCCCCAAAGACGTTAAAATAACGTCGACCAGCCCGCAGGGGGCAGCGAATATGTCGAAGGGCGTAACGTTCCCGTCAAGAGACGGGGGTGAGATGCATGGTAACGTAATTTCATCCGCCCCACCCAGAAACGTCAAATTGTCACACCCGATTCTGAGGGAACCCAGGTTTTCCCCGAACTTCTCGCAGACGCCTCCGAAAGACGTCAAAGTGTACCCCGGCAAGCAGCCGCAGTTCAGCGCACCGTTCGCGGCAGCGTTCGACAGCATGCACACCATCACGAACGTCGAGAGAAGTCCCGACAGCGTCAGCGTAACGAAGCAAATGCCGCAGCTGAGCATTCCAGAACCCAAAGACCCGCACATAGAGCACGAACAAATGCCGATGTTGGACCCTCATTCGCCCCTTATTCGGCAGGGGGTGGCACCGCACGTTTCCTCTACGAGTGCCGTGGGGCAGCCCTCGACGGCGACTGCAACCGTTCCCATAGCGAATCCCGCACCAGTGGTCGCGGATCAGGGACTGTTGAACGTGTACAGCATTAAAACCCTTGAGCCCGCTAACGGGTTGGAGAAGATCGAACAGTGTGTGACCGATCCACAGAACATTACGTCGGCTATGCCCGTTAAACAGCACAAACCCAACTTGATCTGGAACAATCACAAATATTACACTGTGAATCAGTGTCCGGAGACTACATACATCAATAACGACAGGTTCTATCCCATGACGCAGGCTCCGATAAAGCTCGAAGACGACCCCGACAGAAAAGTCGTGGTGGAGTCTATTCCAGAGGACGTAAACGAGGCCATCACCGCCTTGAGAAACCAAGAGTTCCAAAACAGGACAGAAAGAGAGGAGAGGGAATACAAAAAAGACAGCTCGTCTTCCTCCTCGTCCAGTTCGAGCGACAGCGAGTCCGATTCCGACACGGAAGACTGCAAATTGCAGTTGAGCTCCGAGGAAACGTCCTGCTACTCCCCGGATGGTACGGATCTCTCGGACACTTCTTCGGACGAGGACGATCGAAAGTTTAACGTGGTGCAACCAGAGACGAAATTCGAAAGGTGTTTCCAAGAAATCCGAAAAAGTACCGTCGATATTAAAGAAGAATCAAACTCCTCTGAAAATTTTAATCGATGTGTTGCAGATGAGAAGGAGAACGTCGACAACAACCTGAAGGAGCCGGGCTTGAAACGACCGGCCGGCAGGAGGGGGAGGAAGCCGAAGCACCTCAAGAAACCGGGTTTCAGGAGCAAAGCCCCGGAAACGTGTCAGAAAGGTAAAAAAGGTCGAAAACCGGCCAAAAAGTCGGAGAGCCGCGCGCGGATCCGACCGTACCTGTCCGAAATAATCCTGGGGGTCAGGAAAAAGGGCCGTCCCAACAAAAACGTCCAGCACAAGTTCACCGCCATTAAGAGCATAATCAACAATTTCAAGGACCGCTTCAATTTCAAACCCAAAAGGGGTCCCCAACCCTGCGATCCCGACGCGCCCCTGAGCAAATACCTGGCCTACAAGAAGGCCAGCCTGACTCCCCTGGATTGTTGCGTAGAGGTACCGGACGTCTTGAGCCGTTTCAGTCGCGACTTCCAGGAATACCTCAAATCCGGCCTTACCCTATTCAATGTCAGTTCTATTCCCATAGCCCAGACCCATCCCGCTTCTGACGTCCCGAAGGAAGAGAATATCAGGGACGGCAGTTCCAAGGACCAAAAGAGAACACCCAACAAAGCGGTAAGTAACGTAAATAAATAAAAGAACTCTTAAGTGTAACGGGGGTCATACTTATAACGGTGACTACATTTTTTGACCTTTAGATGCTACGTATTTGTTTTTTTTTTTTTTCAAATTCCGTGAAATTTTTTTCTAACCTTTTCTTCGTAAATTTCATACACCGTCTCTGAACAGACCAGTCAGCCTCAAACAACAATGAGCACGCAGCATGCAAAGTTGTCAAATCTCATCTTTTTTTGTCGACTCATATTTTTTCATGTGACAGAAATTTAACGATGAGACAAACACACCAGACTGTCACTAAACACTAAAATAAATGACTGTAAGGTTATACCCTTCACTAAATACATACTTCTTTAAATTTTACTACAAAATTAAACTTAAGACGTAATATCGCACTATTCAAATTCTATTTCGATTCCCGTAAAAACTAATATTTTGTATCGGGAATTGACTTGACTAAAAACTATTGAAATATTTGAAAAACTTGTTCCCATTTTTCTGGTCGCCTAGTTGAAGAATGAGCGCGCGGACAAACGCGACACAAACACAGCCGCACTGGGCGACTGGGCCATAAATTTCATTTGTTAACAAATTGCCCAGCAGTGCAGTGCAGCAATGCGGAATTTGGTGTGATTCAGGTAATTTTAATTTATTATAGGCACCTTCTATTAATCATTCATATGACAATTGCAAAAGGGAGAATAAGAGGGATATTTTATTACAACATGGCACTTTGGAGACCTTTTGGAACGGAACAAATCGAAATACCGCCAGATAATATTGAATTAGTAGAATCGGTTGTTAATGAAACAGATTTAGAATTTAAAAATAAAGATTTACATGTTCAATGTCAGCATATCATTTTACATATTTACGATTGTTTAAAAAAGGAAGAAAATGAAAAATCTGATAATGAAATTATAAATAGAGTTCACATATTAGCTTTGTTCGCGGAGCCGTTCAAACTAGTCCGGGATCAGTCGGAAGCACTCGTTTAGCTACTTTTATGCTATGCTTGTGGGAAATGGCACAGAAAGTAGCTGGACGACCGCTTCTGATTGATCCCGAACTAATTTGAATGGCTCCGTGAACAAAGCTATTAACTAAAGTTTCAGTGTCCACAATTTTTCGTGTTATTGAACAATGTGTTATAAATCATTGCGTAAAGGGGAAGCGAAGACAAAAATTTAAAAATATCGACATGAGACGTAAGAGAGACGTAATTTGACAGACATTTTATAATTTGTAAAAAGAAAATAAAGTACCGACTTTAACCGTACCCGTAGGTTCTTTCCGAGTAGTAATATATTTTAATGAAAATTTTTGATATGTCAACCAAAATGTCCGATTAAAATATAATCGAAATTTTCTACACATTACATACAAATTATTGTTATTTTTTACTTACCTTTAGCAGAAAACTTTTTTGGGACGACTATGAAACTCATTAAATTATATTGATATTATGATTTTATGTTTATGTTCAACTGACTTCGGATGTCATTGATACCAAAACTCACATACTAAACACAGTGCTTTAAAAAAGTAGTAACGGATAGTTTTTATTGAAAATTTGAAAATGATTTTAAATTTTTTTTTTTAATCTAAACGCAGTGCAACCTCTTTAATCCGAACACACGTTAATCCGATCACACGTTAATCCGATCACACGTTAATCCGAACGGCCAAATCTGAACGATGACAAGAAAACACTAGATCACAGACAGTCATTTGTTTGCCGATACCGAAGAACCTGTTGCGTGTCGTGTTTTGTGTAACAATTTTGGAGTCTTTTTGGAAGTAAGAAAAATTAAAAATGTGAAAAGCGTAAAATAATACATTATGTATATGTAACTACACGTTTATGTTTTACCTTATATAAGTTTTATATATCTTATAAATGATTTCTATTTATATTGTTACAATAAAATGTATATGTACTTACATAATATACATATGTACAAATCTTTATAGTATGTTCGATAATCCGAATGATCGATAATACGAACAATGCCTGGCAATATGGTGTTCGGATTAAAGAAGTTGCACTGTAGTGAATATTTTTGTCTAACAGTTGCCGTTTTGCAAGTGTTTTATAGATTTTAGTGACTAAAATCAGATTTCAGTCACTAGTGACTGATTTTTTTGTCACTAGTGAAGCAGTTATAATGTAAATAAAGAAAACATTAAACAATTAACTATTTATTGTAATAGTAGCGGCAAAATAATTATTTTAAAACAAAGAGTGACCCCAAAAAACCTGTGATTTTCGCCGGTTTTTTCACAATTCGCAGAGAATTAAAAAAAATACATAAAAATATATTTTTGGTCGCAAATTACTTAAAACTATACTATTACGTAAAAAAACTGAAATGAGCACAGCTTTTAGTATTTTGAAAATTAAAAAAATTACCTCTATTTAGGGGTTGAAAAAATGCTAAAAATGAAGAATTTGAATATTACCAATTGATACAAAAACTATTAGCATGTGAATTATCTTAATATATTTTTTTTTGAATTTTTACAATTATTTCTGATATTCTCTATTTTTGGGGATGATTCCACTCCCTGAGTGTGCTTAAGGGTGGGTTTTCTAGTTCAACATACTTATTTGAGTCAGGAAAATAAATCTTTTTTTATATCAAGAATCATTCGATAGAAAAATTCACATGCTAATAGTTTTTATATTTATTGGTAATGTTCAATTCTTCATTTTGGGCGTCTTTTCAACCCCTAAATAGGGGCGATTTTTGAAAATTTTCAAAAAACTAAATCAATGCTCATCTCAATTTTTTAAGACGAGTAATTTGAGACCAAAAACATATTTTTATCTATTTTCTTTAGTTCTCTGCGAATTGTGAAAAAACGGGCGATTTTTGCGGTCACTCTTTCATAATTTCATTCGTATTGAAATAAAACAAAATATGGCGACTTTAAAGTAACATATTGCAGTCATACGAAAGCAGTATATTTTTATGAAATTATTTTCCGTTTAAGGAGGATCAGGTACTAAGAAAAAATGCAGGCAATTTCGTATTATTGAGATGTATTATTTTTACAATGTGAAATCAAATTCTGTGAATTATTCTCGAATTATTTATCAATTTGTTTTTGTTTTTAATTAACACCAAAAATTTGAATATTTGATATAGGTCCTTATGAAAAATGCTATGATGCACACCCGTACAATTGAATTACGGGTGAAAAAATGCAAATGGTGACGAAAAAATATAGACATTTACTGGAATCACTAATTAATAGATGAGAGAAAGAAAAAAAATAGGTTACCGCACATTTCACAGAGAAATAAATTATCAAACATCAAAAGTTCTGACTTGTCCGCCTCATGCAACCGAATTCGGGCGCTGCCCTATGACGTCGTAGACAAAAGTGTAATAAGTTATAACTCGACCCTTTATTTGATTAAAAAGAAATTATATGTAAAAAAACCTAAAAAAACGGGCCCCCTACTTACATTTACACCCTGTACGTATCCTACGTACGTTAACACTTTTAGACGTAAATTAATTGTCGTTGCAGAACGGAAACCCGATCGCGCAAGGCGACGTAGTGTGGGCGAAACACAAGAACGGCAGGTATTACAAGGCGATCGTGATGGACGTAAAGATGGAGTCGCAGATGTGCGTCTTCTTCCCCGAGGACCAGAGCTTCTCCAAGGACATAATACTTAGCGATATCGTGAACTGGGAGAAGATCCAGACGCCCATCATCGGGCAGAGACTTCAGATACGGTGGATCGACGGCAAGGTGTACGACGCGGATTACATCGGCAAGGTGGATTATCCCGTCTTTACCGTAAGTACCAACTTGAACGTACGATGGGACCTTGGATTTCTTTATCGTTGTTTCATTTTTAAGGTATTATTTGAGGACGAGACGACGAGTCACTTACACAGAGAATACATATACGCTCTAAACGAGTATATTCCAAAGCGTATAGTTTCAAAATTGGTATGTTTTTCTTTGTTTTTATAGTTTTGTTTTGTTGTTGTTCCTTGAAGTGGCGGGTATACCGCCCTGATTTAAGTCCAAGCTAAAACGTTTTGTTTTGTTTCACTTGTCATGGCCATCTTTAACGTCGAACGTTTGCCCGTCAGCGTTCTGAGGGTTTCTTTTTTATTTTTCAGTCTTACGCCACCGATATGAAGAATCGGGATCACCTGTACGACCTGGAGAGCCCGCTGCCGGAGAAGCGGCCGGTGAAACGGAAAATGTACGAGGAAGACGAATAGTTTAGGCTGAATAGTTTAATTGAATTTCTTTTTTGAAGACTGAATTCCAAAATAGTTTTTTACAGGCTCTTGTTTTTTTTTTTTGTATGGAATTGATCGGGTTCCGGTCGGATTCTCTTTGTCCGTAGATTTTTTCGATTTGTTCTCGACGAAGGAAATTATATTTGTGATCGACTTTGATTAGTATTCCCGTATCATTTTTTCGATAGGAATTTTGATCACCGTATTTTTATCTTTAGCTGTAGTAGTTTTTTAAGTGTGTGTGATAAAAAGTTGTATTTATTTTTGTTTTAATGTAAATACCACAAGTTTATGATTACGTTCCCTTAGGTTTCTGTATAAAAGAAGATGTAAAATAGCGCAATTATGTCTAAAGTATTGATAAAATACAAATAAATTAAATAATGTTCACAGAAAACGAGTTTTAATGCGGTGCGGCGGGGACACGTTCCCTAATGTACAGGGTGAGTTAAATTTGAAGGAAATAGAAGAAACAGCCGACTACGCAAGATCAATTTTTGAAATAAATTCCAGTGAATGTCGGAATCGATATTTGATATTAGTTTTTAGTTTTCAAACTACAGGGTGATATTAATTTTCTTGACATTTTCAACCATCTCTGTATGTGGACGGGATTAAATAAAAAAAAAAGTGCAGTATTCTTTTCGGCCTGAAATCGTTTGACGAAATTAGTGTTTTTTTATTGCGAATCGTAGTTGGCTATGGTTTAGAAAGATAGGCAATTTTTTCTGGATTCCTATATACAGGGTGTTTCATAACAGAACTACTGAAATAGATCAGGTACGTGTGGAAGATCTTAAAATATGCCGATTTGTTGTGTAACTTTTTTTTTATTCTTGGATGTACCGTCGAAGAGATATTGGCCTCTGAAGGTAAGTATTAAATTTTAAAAAATAATATTTCAGCGATGCCTAGCAATAGAGCATCCAAATTTGGTACACGATTTACGTTTATTGTTATCTTTAATTGGTAAAAATATAAGACCAATGATATCGCTTTTATTATCAGTATGCTAATTATTGAATAGTTTTACCAGTATTACACGAATTTTAATATAAAAAATCTTACAAATTGTTCGAAAAAATAACGCTTTTTGAGAAAATCGGGATTTTGTGAAACGGCGTCATTACAAACTGAATTGGACAAAAAAGTATGCGGTTTCACGACTAGTAGGCTATGATTTCAGGAGTCATTTTTGACGACAAAAAAGTATCAAGAAAAAGCAATTCATTAAATTAGTTAGATTCTTTATTTTGTTTTTAACATATTGAAAAAAAAAGACCCCTACAAACAAAACTACTGATATCGTTAAACAATGCTACAATAACTTGAAAATGGCCTCCCATTTTCTCTAATACATAAAGAGTGACCGTAAAAATTGCCCGTTTTTTCACAATTCGCAGAGAACTAAAGAAAATAGATAAAAATATGTTTTTGGTCTGAAATTACTAGTAAAAAAATTAAGATGAAAATGAAGAATTGAATATGAATATTCAAATTCTTCATTTTTGCCATTTTTTCAAGCCTAAATAGGGGTGATTTTTTTAATTTTCAAAATACTAAAAGTTATGCTCATTTCAGTTTTTTACGACAAATAATTTGCGAGCAAAAAAATATTATGTATTTTTTTAATTCTATGCGAATTGTGAAAAAGCGGGCGAAACTCATAGGTTTTTTGCGGTCACTCTTTATCCTTGCCGCAAATTAAAGTCTACTTTACGCAAGGATCATTTTTTATGACATTGCATTTATTTATACGATTCCATAAATCTGCTTCAGATACAACTGGTGTAAAATAAACAAATTCTTTTAAAGCCTTCCAGAGAAAGAAATCACATTTATTCAGATCTGGTGATCTTGGCGGCCAATTTTCTGGACAATTGTTTCTTCGTCCTATCTATCTATTCGGGAACTGCTGGTTCAAAATAAGTCTCATACATTAGCACTCTGATTAACACCTTATTTTTAAGTACATTTTGCCAAGAGGGAAACTGCCATATTTGTAATTATTGTTAATATAACAAAAAGCCCTTGTTACATTGAATCGACAGAATGCTGTGAAAAACAAGGGTGTATGCCTTGTTATTCCAAGTTCATTTCGACTATTTTGAATACCGATCGTTCAATTAAATAAAATTAAACGAGACCGCAGGTAAGTAAAACAAATGCAGTATAAATAATTCATTATTCATTTTAAATTTACCGCATAATTGTAGCCATTTATTAAAGATTTGCGGAGTTTAAACATAGTTCCATTGCAAGACAGTAGATGGCACTGTTAGTCGCATTTTGGCTTTATTATAAAAAATAGTCTCTATTTTTCTACAAATGATTATAAAAAATTGACCATTTCCGAATTAAGAGATTAATGTAGGTTCTTTCTATTATACGTACATATTTTTAAAGTCGATGAATGTATGGTATATTATAATCTCAAATTCAAATAGTGTGACCAAAAACTAAGCGTAGGCAACCAGAAATACACCAGGTATTACAAGAATCGTAACCGATAAAGTTCAGTTGATGTGGCTGTTCCAGTGATCCTAAAAATTGTTAAATGGTTTTTGAATTTAACAAAAATATCCAATTGACTGTGTGGAACTAATTAAGAAAGAATTATTTATTTAAAAATATGATATCTATGTGGCCAGATAGTACAAGAGAATGTATATTTGGAGTATTTAAAAATTAAGATTGACATGACATAAAAATGTTTAAAGCCACTGGTCTACTGAAGGTGACCTTCACGAGGTAATTCCACATTTTTTTTCTAACACGGAACATATATTTATCGCTATTTTCTCATTACGAGAGATACGCGTTATGTTTACCATCTTTTTCTCTATCGGTTCTAGATTATTTTGAATAGTTTCTGGATTGGGTTCAGGTTCAAGTGGACGAAAGTTGTATTTTATTTTTTAAAAAGTTGACTGAAAATATACGGTAAGCGCAACATTTTCGTACTCATTCTTTCATTTAATACCAAATCTATGGATCCGTCGATTTCTCTTACAACCGCTTATCTACCTTTTCGTATCTGTCGAGTTATCAGCGGCTAACTGGCATTTTGCCTGGCCGACTCGTATTTTTTCTGAATTAAATTCATTCACGAACATGCTTCTATTTATACTGTTTTTTCTATTCACTACAACCACTAAAAATAATCCTACCAACGTAATACGGATTTTGTGACCTCAACGTCGACCGTACGAGTTTTCTATCGAGAATTTGTTTATAATTTATAGAGGCTTATCTGTTCGGTGTTTACGACATAGATTTAGATATTAGTTTGTGCGCCTAGCTAAAAAAAAACTTAGATAATAGTGTGCTAGTTAAACACGTCTAGTTTTTTAGTCCATTTTTACACAGGCAGCAGCAGTAAAGCCTAAGTATGTCGAGAGACAGGGCTTCTCGAAGGTTCTACCGTGGAGAATCTTACAGTAACATGTCGGCATGCATGGACCGCGGCATGGCAGCCGAGGAAGAGAACCGGTGGAATTTCGAAGTGGCATGGGAAGCCGCCAACAAAGGTACGATAAAACATTCTTTTCCTCACGTGTATGATTAAAAATACATTTTTAGTGGGGGGAATCTATACCGTGGTGCGGTCGAAAACCTTCGTGTCGACTGAAGAACTCGGCGACCAGTACTGCTTGATAGGTCCATACAAGGAGCACCACGCGAGAACTGAAGTGGAAGAATGTCCGTTGTCTTCAGACAATTTAAACAAAGCCGTGGATTGTCTGCGGCAAAAGGGGTTCAAAGTCCACACAGGCAGGTGGTTGGTCGACGGCAATCCCCAGATAATCCTCATGGATATCGGCTCTGCCGCGTGGAAGCTCGACGAATACAAGTCCGAGCTGTGGAACAAAACAAACATCGGCGTGCCCCACTTGGATATCGAGGCAAACGACGCCATTATCTTGGGTTACATGGTTGCCGATTTCTTAGGAGAGGTATGAGGAACGTCCGAGTACCAACAAGCTCAAAAAAATATGTTTTCAGTTTAGGAATATAGCGGAAGAACTTGGAGACGGCGTGCCGGCCAGGGTTCTGGCTCATTTCCACGAGTGGCAGGCCGGAGTGGGGTTGATTGTGCTGCGTATGCGTCACGTTAACATAGCTACCGTGTTCACGACACACGCTACTTTGCTGGGGAGATATCTGTGCGCGGGCAGCACGGATTTCTACAATAACCTCGATAAGGTACGAGAAACAATTTTATTTGCTAGTCGTCGATGTACATGTATGTTTTTACTAGTTTAACGTAGATGAAGAGGCGGGAAAACGTCAGATCTACCACAGATATTGCATGGAACGGGCAGCCAGTCATTTATGCCACTGTTTCACCACTGTCTCCGACATTACAGGTAAGATAAGCATAGGAATCGTTTTGTTTAAAGACGCGAGCTTTGAAATTTCTCAGGTTACGAGGCAGAGCATTTACTGAAGCGAAAACCGGACGTGATTACGCCGAACGGTCTCAACGTCAAGAAATTCTCCGCATTGCACGAATTCCAGAACCTCCACGCCGTTTCCAAGGAAAAAATTCACGAGTTCGTACGGGGGCATTTCTACGGGTAAGCGGGTGTGACACATTACCGTAACGGGCTAAACGTTTCGAATTCCAGCCATTACGACTTCGACTTGGACAAGACGTTGTACTTTTTCACGGCCGGCAGGTACGAGTTTGGCAACAAGGGCGCGGACGTATTCATCGAGGCCTTGGCCAGACTCAACCACTACTTGAAGGTACGAAAATCGAGTCACGAGGACACATTTTTCCATTCTTTGTTTTTAGTCCACTCATCCCGACGTAACGGTGGTGGCGTTCATGATTTTCCCTGCGAAGACCAACAATTTCAACGTGGAGTCGCTCAGGGGACACGCCGTAACGAAGTCGCTCCGGGACAACATCGGGGACATCCAGAGTAAGATCGGGAAACGGATGTACGAGATTTGCTTGAGGTAAATTGTTTAAAAAATGTGAAAAGTCGCTTGAAATTCATCGTTTTACGTGTCGTAGCGGGCGACTGCCCGACGGGAACGAGTTGATGCAGAAGGAAGAGTTGATCCGTCTCAAACGGTGTATCTATTCTCTGCAAAGGGATTCTCTGCCGCCTGTAACGACGCACAACGTCGTCGACGATTGGAACGATCCAGTATTAAACTCGATACGGAGGTGCAACTTGTTTAACACCACCCACGATAGAGTGAAGGTAGGTCGCTCGTTTATACGCGTCGAACGTATCAAAACGACAATTTTTTCAGATCGTGTTCCATCCAGAATTTTTGAGCACGACGAACCCCCTGTTCTCGTTGGATTACGAGGAATTCGTCAGGGGTTGCCATTTGGGCGTTTTCCCCAGCTACTACGAACCGTGGGGCTACACGCCCGCGGAATGCACCGTCATGGGTATTCCCAGCGTCACGACCAACCTTTCAGGTACTAAACTCTTACTCATTTTTTTTTTTGCGAACGTATAAATCAGATAAAACTATTTTTATATTTATGTTTTCAGAAAGGTCAAAGTTACGCAAATATTTAAAGTTTAAGGTGACTTTCACAATCGCCGAACTAGAATTCGGTGACCTGCAAAAGTTATGTGACCCACTTGTGGGGAAACTAATAATATGTAAATTTTTTTTAATGTCGAACTGTAAAAGTTAAAATACCGCAGGAATATTAAGGAAATCCGAAATCTGCACCTAGAAACAATAGATGCATATTTATTTTTGGTAATTACATAAAAAAAATTGTTGGCCCGACGCGTCATGTGAATTTCTGAGTCACAAAAAGCATTAGTGCAGGAATAGAAATGTGTGGGACGTAAAGTTTGCGGTAATAAGTTTTTAAGTAGGTTTAGTTTTGGGCTCGTTTTTACGAATGAAAGCGAGATTTCTACAGAGTGGTTCTTAAGTGTTAACCGTAAAACAGGTGGTCGTTCTGTGGGTCATTACAAGGAAAATAAAATCCTACAAATTAATAATTACTTAAAAGTTTTATAGATTCTTCAACTTTATTAAAAGAACAGGCAGTTTTTGAGTCACAATTTTTTTGTGTCTAAAATAAACTTACCACACAAATATTAGGCCAACCAATAGAGACTTTTTGGCACACTTAAATATTACAGCAAATTTCCTGTATTACTTTTTGAAAAATACTTAGTAAATGAAAACCCTAGTGATTTCCCCAGCAAAGTCGTGAACAATTTTTTTTTAAACATTAAAAACTACAAAAAAAATTGGAATTTTTTTTGGTTTTTCATTTTTTACAGAGAAAATCCGGAAAAACCTCTAAAATAGACCTTTTTTCAAAAATTCATAACTCCGTCAAGTTTGAAGCTGGAAAAACAATCTTGCAGAAAATGACATAATAGTATGTAGTTTAATCGTCCGCAAGATGGTTTCTCTTGAAGAGTCGGGTAGCGGTAGCGGGGGAAGCAGCGAACGAAGGACTCTGACTCGAGCGTACTTTCGATTGTTTCGAGCGACTTTCAAGGGTATTTTTAGCATATTTCCCATCACCCAAGCGAAAGTCCGAGATATACAATTTGGAGATTTTGTTGTCTACTTTCAGATGCCGTTTTCAGAATTTAAATCGGACCATTTTTGATAATTCGCCACGCTGTGCAAAAAAAGACCCTAATTTGTTTATAATGCAATTGTGCAAAAACTATGCATCGGACAAACACCATCTTGCGCACAATTAAACCACATATCTGTTATTTTCCGCAATATTGTTTTTCCAGCTTCAAACTTGACGAAGTTATGAATTTTTGAAAAAAGGTCTATTTTAGAGGTTTTTTCGGATTTTCTCTGTCAAAAATGAACCAATCGAGTCGCACAAAACACCATTTTATATGTTTCTTTATTCTCTACAAAAGTCCTATTGAGAGTGAGACGATTCCATCATTTTTTGAGATAAAAACCAAAAAAATTCATTTTTTTGCAGTTTTTATTGTTTAAAAAAATTGTTCACAATTTTGCTGGAGAAATCACTTGGGTTTTTATTAACTAAGTATTTTTCAAAAGGAAATACATGAAATTTACTGTAATATTTAAGTGCAAAAACGGCCTCTTTTTCGCTTTATTAGTTGGCCTATACAGGGTGTCCCGAAATTCATGCAACAAAATTTGGTCACAGATTCTTAAGACAAATTTAGGGGACCCGTATTTTTTATTTTTGCCGTCTTCCGGAGTTACAGCCCCCTGAAGTCCGCCCCTAAGAATAATCTTTTTTTTTATATCTCAGAACCCTGTTGTACGAGAATCACCAAATTTGGTACACAGGGGTTTTATTACATGTGGAATCTCAAGATGCTACGTTTTTTGGTGGGGAACCCCCTTAAGACAATTTTTCATGGGCCCCCTTGTCTTTCGAGCCAAAAAAATTTGGTCACATATTTAAATTTCTTAAAAATTATCAGTCCACTAGAAAACCATTAAATTTTGAAATTTTTTGTCTCTTTATACTTTCTTCGTAAAACGCAATGTTTTCGAAAAAAATGTCAAAATGTGATCGAATGCATATCGTGATTCGCCATTTTCCTCAAAACCATTGCGTTTTTCGAAACAAATATTAAGAGACAAAAAAGTTTCTTTCTAGCTAACTAATAATTTTAAAAAAATCAAATTTACAACCAAATTTTTCTGGTTCCAAAGACAAGGGGGGCCACGAAAAAGTGTCTTAAGGGGGTTTCTCGTCAAACGTAGCACCATCAGATTCCACATGTCATAAAACCCCTGTATACCAAATTTAGTGATTCTCGTACAACAGGATTCTGAGATATAAAAAAAAGATTATTCTTAGGGGGCGGGCTTCAGGGGGCTGTAACTCCGAAAGAGGGGGCCAGTTGGCAAAAAGAAAAAATACGGGTCCCTTGAATTTGTCTTAAGAATCTATGACCAAATTTTGTTGCATGAATTTCCGGACACCCTGTATATGTCTCCGCTACTGGACTAGAACGCCACAGCACATTAGTTATGGTATATCTTCATTTATTCTGGATTTGAAATTACAAAATAGCTCGAAATATGAGTTTTGGAATCGGAAATTCTTATAATAATAATTGATTCTTTGTCTTCTATGTCTACGATCATTATCTTTAATAGCTCATCTCTTCTCAATGCTCTACAAACACCAGTTATTAAAATCACCTGAAAAGTTGTACAAAATTAGTTAAATCGATTGATTTATTTGAATTACCTTTTCTAGCAGAAATCTATTATCAGGTGCTTCTTGTAAAAATCTCTCAACTTCCTCTTTCGTTTGAATTCTGGACTTTTTCGAACTTTATCCAACTGATTTGCTTTTCAAATATGGTATTAGTTTCAGAAATTTTCTGACATTTAAATTTTTTTTGCATTCAGTGTACTTTCGAACATGAAATATAGTGATTATAACGTCGAAGGTTTAATTTTATTAATTTTATGCACGAAATATGCCAGTAATACCACTTTGGCACTTTTTGAATTTTCTTCGAACTATACCACCCTTTGAATTCGTTATAGGCAATCTCGTACTGTCTTGATGATTTTTTGAGGATTAATTGTGAAACAGCAGTTTGTGCCGCTTCCAAATCTTCCCCTGGTAAATGCTCGTCTTCACTTCCTGGGCTCGTTTTGAATTAAACACTCTTAGAACATGAATTACAATAATTCTGACACTACTTTTTCAAACAACTGATTTTTATTGTTTAATAGTTTGCTATCGTTATGATAGTCACCACGCCTAAACCGTTTTGATTCAAACACGGTTCAAACGATTTCAAATATAAATGCTTTTGTGTTCCCGAATTGATATAACTTCAATTCTTGAACGCCAAAGTACCATTTCGCGTTCTAGATACAAAAATAACTAATATTAATTTTAAAAAATGTCCATAAAAGAAAGAGGCTCGTCATCAAATCTGGTTTATCGTAACAGTTTTGATTCTCTATGCCAAAACATTTTGAAATACAGAGGGCTCCAGTCTGGGTATTTCAAACTTTAAACTGAATAGAATGAAAAAAAAAAAAAGAATCTAGAGGTTTTGTTAATAAACCACACTCATATTTTGTATCATTTTCTGTCACAGTTCGTTTCCGATGTGATATATTTTTTTAAACATAGTTGTGGTGCTTAAGCCGATTTAAATAAAATTTGATGTAGTGTTATTGCAGGGGAAACTGTATTTAACGTCTATTTGTAATTTCCTTGAACATTTTTGCGCAAAAATTCATATGAGAAGAACTTTTGCTGTTAGATTTTAACAAATACCAGTATGGACAATCATTGAAAATGAACTAGTGGTAAGGGTGACTTTTGGATACTTTGTTTTTAATTTCATGTAAGATATCAGCAAACGGCACTGTTTAAATTTTTTTAAATGTTTCTAACATGCAGAAATAATCAATGTTAAAATTTAATAACAAACGTTTTCCTTGTGTGGTTTGTACTTTTGTCATCAACGTGCAATTCTCCTGAAACTCGATCATCAAAATCATCCAAAAATCCGCTTCCACTTCTACGTTTGTGTAAATGTTAGAGCGAAAAACTACTAAAGTATCGTCAAATTATGCAGTTGCCGATGTATTAACTTCACACCAAATTTGGTTAAAATCGGCTAATGCATAACGAAGATATTACAAAAAATATACATGGAAAACGCTGCCAGAAATTTTTTAAGGTATTATTTGCCCCGTATAAAATATTAGTGCTTAGCGCCTATTTCCTTCCTAGGTTTCGGCTGTTTCATGCAGGAACACATATCCGACCCCATGTCGTACGGCATCTACATCGTCGACCGCAGATACATATCCCTAGAAGACAGCATAAAACAGCTCGCCCAGTACATGTACGACTTTGCCAGGCTGAACCGCAGACAACGAATCATCCAGAGGAATAGGACCGAGAGATTGAGCGACATGTTGGACTGGAGAAACTTGGGAGTTGTAAGTAGAAATAACTATTGGTCACGCACAGAACCGGACTTCGAATTGTTTTTTTCCAGTATTATCGACAAGCGCGGATGAAAGCCTTGCACAAGGTCTACCCCGACTACAAGGAGGAGATGGAGAACGGCATAGGCACCCTGAGGTACCCCAGGCCTTTGTCGGAGCCGCCTTCCCCCAGCTCGAGTAGGGTCACTACCCCTGCGGCTTCGGTTCACGGGTCCGACGACGAGAGCGACTCGGTAGACGAGGAAGGAGAGGTAAGACTCGGAAAAACGAAAAACTCAATTGCACTTTTTTCGTTTACGTTTCAGTTGGAAGAATTGAGAAGACAATAGCGAGAATTCCTAGAGGCCAAGTTTTGATATACCCGAAAAATACTCCTTTTAATTGCAATAATGAAAATTGGTTTATGTAAATTGTTGGAAATCTTCAATTTTATTAGGTTGTTGTGGAAAGATAGGGCCATATTTGTGTACGATTTAAGTATCGCTCGTACTATTCCTCGTGGTTCCGTGAAAACTTCCATGACTGCTAAATTTAAGTTAGATCCACGTCTGGAGCTAGTTATTCTTGCCATTCGCGTCGATGAAGGTTAGAAGTACGAGCGATACTCAAGTTATTATTGTAAATATCCTTAGGCGAGTACATCGAATTTCTTTAACATTTATTTTATTTGGAGCACCTTATAGTGTTAAATTGTATGAGAGTATACATAAAATAGATTTTTTTCTTTTTAAATCCGTATTTTTATTGTTCGAATCTCTGTGAATGTGTGTCGGTCGAAATGACGTCCCACAGAAAGCGTAAAAAAATTTGGGGGAAGGCGCACCTTAACAAATGTTGCAAATATGCCTTACGAATCCAATCCGATTGTTAACAGTTGAGAAGTTATATGCAATGTCGAATTTAAAAAAGATAATTTGAATTTTATTCCAAATTTTGAATGTTTAGAATTTTGTAGGCAAAATATTATAACAGTACAACAAGCGGTGCGGTTATAGGGATATTTATTACATAAAATTAATAATGGGGAAAATAAAGTAAAATTCCAAGAAAAACAATATTTATTTATCGATGTCTCATCATATACAGTGTGTCCCGTTTTTCAGGTTAACACCTCTGGAAATGTGAGAAGGCTGTGGACTTTCCGCAAGCCAAATTTTTACAAGTAGTACCCTGGCGGGAGGTTATATTCTACTAATCATTTTATTGATGTAACAAAAGCCTGGCCTTTTTTTTTAAAAGGGTCGTTTTTACAGAAAGTGGTATTAGGCATTTTTTTATAAAAAATATAATATTACCAGGCTATTCAACGCCCATCAAAATACCCACATACCAAATTTGAACAACAAATGTCTATTGAGTGTTTTTTTATGTGGTGCCAAACTCCGAAAAATCAGACAACTAAAAATTATAATAAGCAGGTCAAAGATTGCCATGAAAGTGAAAACAAGTACCAATCGCGCAAAGAAAAATTACATACACTAAATTTAACACTTAATTGCAGACATAGTAAAAAAAATAATGTACAAAAAATGTAGGTAATGAATTTTGAATAAATAAGTTGTTAAACAAAAAATTGCAAAACAATCTAAATTAAATTTTAGTTTTCTCGAACTATGGACTTTTGGGGTTTTATAAAACAAAAAGTTTATAAAAACAGACCGAAGAATTTGAATGATCTAATGAATTATTGCTAAGACAAGCTTGCTCCACAACGGCTACGTAAATTTATTTTTAAATTTAAGAAGAGGATTGGAAAAATGTGTTCGACTGGAAGGTTTGGTGGAGAAAACTAAAACTTAATTTAGATTAATGTTTTGCAATTTTTTTGTTTAACAACTTACTATTTATAATTCATTACATTTTTTGTAAGTTATTATTTTTAAAATTAATTAATATAATTAAAAGTTGAGTCATTTTAGACATTTACAAAGATGCACACTACCATGTACCGTTGAGATTATTTCAATCAATGCACGTACTATTCCATCATTTTGTAAAATTTTGTGTCGACGAAATGTACAGGAGTACCGAAGATTTCCTGATCGTTTGATTACACACCGGGCTTTGCTGTTACTGAGAGGAGAGCTCGAGAGACTGGATCATTTCTAGTGAGCAATCAATGAGAACGTGTTAATCATGCAGTAAACGCACGAAACGAGGTACAATTTTTAAGAAGTATTGAAAATAACACTCATTTCAGTACTAGGTGATTATCTACACAATTTTATATACCACATGCCGCGGTCCATTGAATTATAAGACGTAACCTGTTTCAACTTTATCATATCCGAAATATTCAACAATATATAACATAACTTTTTGTAATTTCATTTTGCGTCAACGTATTAGGTTTCATGAGATTTTTTTTATGGACGAGGCCTGTTTCACTCGAAGAGGAATCACAAGTTTGGATAATTTCCATGAATATTTGGATGAAAATCCGCAAGCAATAATTCCTCGCGATTTTCAAAATTCAAATTGGACGTTCATTAGTTGGGCTAATTATTCTACCAAATCGACTGAATGGCGAAAATTATTTATTTGTTTTACAAAATATTCTCCCTGAGATACACGAGAATTTACCTTTGAAATTAAGACGTCCAATGTGGTTCATGCACGATGATGCTCCACCGCATTTTAGTGCTAATGTACGTTGAACCAGCAGTTCCCGAATAGATAGATAGGACGAAGACACAATTGTCAAGAAAATGACCACCAAGATCACCAGATCTAAATAAGTGTGATTTCTTTCTCTAGAGGGCTTTAAAAGAATTTGTTTATTTTACACCCGTTGTATCTGAAGCAGATTTATGGAATCGCATAAATAATAAATGCAATGTCATAAAAAATGATCCAGTTTTTGCGCAGAATAGACTTTAATTTTTGGCGGAGGGTAAATTTATGTATTAGAGAAAATTGTGGACATTTTCAACAGTTATTGTAGGGCTTATTTAACGATTTCAGTAGTTCATGCGATTAAAGTGGAGTTGCTAATGTTTTGTTTGTAAGGTTCTTCTTTTTTTAATATATAAAAACAAAATAATGAAATTGTTTTTTTCTTGATACTTTTTTGTAAACGTCAAAATTGACACATGATATCATAGCATACTAGTCGTAGAACGGCATACTTAGTGCAGATCCCATTGGGAATTACATCATGCATTGTTGTCAAATTGGAATTATTTTCACTTGCATAAGAGTTACAGGTTGATACAGGTTAGAAATCACAATCTTTTATCAGAAAAAGTAGGTAGTTTAATAATTGTATTACATAAATAAAAAATATGTTCGTTCATTTCTGAACTATTACCAGGATGAATTAATTTCGACCCATTGTTCTTTATTCTGTAGTTATAAAAAAAAGATTGATTAATAAAAAATTATAAAACAAATATGACTATAAAATATATTATTTCTAATATCCAGACTGACAAACAACGCTCCATCAAACTAGAACTATTCGAAAGAACACATTTTCATAAAGGTCATTGAGGAAGGAAAAAATTAAAAGTTTATATAAGTAACAATATTATAAATTCAACTATTTATATGTATAACAACAATAAAATTACGCTATTTCAACGAGGCTACTAATATTACAATAAATTCTTTGAATCTATTCTATCACTACTGACTACTGCGGCTAAAAATACATAACGTCATCGACTGGCAGTAGAAGTTATTTTATTATCGCACTTTTTTTCATTATTACAAATATATAATACTCCGATAGTCTTATTAGCAAAATAAAAATTTTACGTTTTCTAAATCTCACAGGCCTACCTTATCTGCAAAATCAGAGCACCTAAACCTGAACTAATTTCTATTTAGGCTGCAGCTTTCTAATACTTTTATCTAACACATAGTCGACTAACTCGTCTATAGGTTTGATGATAAAAGGAATGGTAGCAAGTCCTATACCCGTAACCACCCACCTTCTCGTATTCTTCGGCAGCTTATCGGTAGTTTTAAGTATAAAATTCGACAAAGCACACACTCTGTTTATAGTAAATCCAGGTAAGGCTACTGAAGCAAGCATCTGCCAGACGAGGGTATCTGTCGTGGTGTAAATAACTTTCCTTAAATGATTTTTCTCGTTCAAATTAACCTGTAACGGAAAATTATGACAGCGCCTCAATGTAGGCAACCCGTATTATAGGGCGGTGTGAAACTAGTCACATAACTTCAAACATAAAAAAAACTAAATGTTTTATTATTTAAATTAAACTGTTTATGATCAAATGCAACAGACATTGTAACCGTACCTTGTAAGATTTAATACTTTTGTCTGTGGTATCAGCCAGGACGTAAACAGTGGCTACTGCGTACGTAAAATTGACCCATTTGCTCCCTATTATTGATCTAAATGCCTCACCAACTTCATTCGAGTATCCTGCAAGCAAATTTAAGTGTCTTTGCACCGTCGCGGGCTGGCAATTACTTTTAAAGGTAGACTCACCTAAATATCTCACCGGTGTTTGTCTGTACAGATCCAATTCTTTCCCTTCCATGGCAAAACGTAACCTTCCCTTCACGGTTAACCTCAAACTGCCCAAGAAAGCAATAAATGGAGTGTGGCACATATATTCCGACTTTTATTTACGTCCCAATGACAACTGGAAGTGCGAATGCATTAATAATATTGTATAATGTATAATAAAGTAGATTTGTATAAAATGGTAATTGGTTAATAAATAGTCTCACTTTTTAGGATGTCTTTGATAACCATCAGACAGTTGGCCTGTTGGTCTAGGGGTATGATTCTCGCTTCGGGTGCGAGAGGTCCCGGGTTCAAATCCCGGACAGGCCCGACCCATTTTTTTTTTAGTATTACTATATTTTTTTGTAAAACAGATATAGTAATAACAATATTGAAGATTTTTTAAGTAAAAAAATTTATTTCATGGTATTTCATGCAGGATTTCGTAAACTATCACATCTTAAAACTTTAAAATATTGAATTTCCTACAACTTATGTTGAAAATCTTGAAAAATTCGATTACGTTAAATAAATTTTATTATTCTTGTGTGCAATTTGCCACTTTATTCGTAAAAATAAAGGTGTCGCATAAAACATAGAATTTTATTTTTAAAACATATAAATAATTTTGTCGGGGAAAATGGCAAGTTTAGAACTTGCCGCTTCTTTTCCTCCCCGTATATTTCGAGTCGGCCCTGACGTCCTTCCCTTGTCGCCGCCTCCTTTCTTTCTTCTCCAAAATCCAATTCCTGCCCCTTTTCAAGGATTTCCCCCTTTGCTGCTTCAAACGCTCCCTTTTTGCGGTATACGTCACACCTATTAATAGCACGTCAATTGGTTGCAAATAAAACAAAAAAAAAATAGGAAAAAGATTTGTCAGGTGTGGGGTTCGAACCCACGCTCTCTTTCGAGAACCAGAGCTTAAATCTGGCGCCTTAGACCGCTCGGCCAACCTGACTTACAATTGAATACTTCGAGCGCACAGTATTTCAACCCTGGATATTGCATTAGTTTACGCAATAAATAAAAATGTTAAAATTTAAATTTTATCATTATTGAACGTGATTAGCAATTATTAAATAGAGATTTTAAGTAAGAAAACTTCTGAAATAAAGTAATATTACACTACGCAATCTATTTATTTTGCGCTTGTAACTGCTGCCATCTAGTAGATATTACCAGAAACTTAATGCGTTTGCTATCGCCATCTGTTAGGTATTAACAGAAATTTTTACTGTTTAAATTTTGGCGGTAATGGTTTCCTAATGTAGCTATAAAAATGTACACAGAAAATTTGTCATAACCCAAAATAACATTAATATTAAATGGAAACACTAAATATAAGTTTTTCTTATGTGTTCTCTGAAAAAAAAAAACGACCTACCATGAGAATCCTCATCGGTTCCCAGAGCTTTAGGCAACGGTAAGTTGCCGCCCGTCATCAATACAAGGAAAAATTTTTTAGCTTTGGTACTATTGGGGTAGTCTACCACCACGCCGCCATAAAAACCGGCCTTCATGGCCTGGGTGGTTAACAACTCCATCTGATCGCCATTCTCCGGATAAAATTGCAAAACCGCCCTGGCGGAACGGCTCTAAAACAAAAATTTTCAATCCATCCAACCGTTTAACGCTACCGGCCTTACCAAACAAGCGTACAACATGCTGAAGAATTTATACAACCTCTGTACGGGCTTGTGAGAGGATTTGTCGGCGTTGCACAGCCATTGTAGTGCCGATATGCTAATCGCTCCGTCAAAAGTTCCTGAATAAAAAATGAATTTAGTTGTAACCGTGTACTGGTATGGAAAAGGCTAACCTGCTCTAAACGGGCAGCCTTGCCCCATATCTGACAGCAAAAGGTCACCTTCCACCTCTCGTTCAACGGCTATGTCTGCAAAATAATGTTAAATAAACTAATGTTGTCGGTATGTTACTCGTTACCTAACATCGCTGTGGATATATCCATCCCGACCCAGAAATGACCCTGGTCTTCCAGAACGCTACCGCTTAATCCTGAACCACAACCTACATCCAATAAGAAACAAGGAGCATCTTCAGGTAAAACGAGTAGTTCTATAGCACGTTCCGACATCTGCACTTGAATATCAATGATTCTGGAACTGAGACCACAAATTTAATAACTGCTCACATAAAACTATGGTCACTACTTACTTCTGGGTGTATTTTCTCGCCTCATTTTCATTGTAGAACTGGAAAGAAAATATTTTTAAAAGTTAATAGTAAACACCACCCTGTTACTCACTATCTCAGGTGGAGCTAAATATTCAGGTCGTGACATGTCTAATAGAGTTTATTGCATTTATTTATTATTAAAAAATATTTAACATGCAAATAGACCTTAGCCTTAAAAATTAATAAATACAAAACAAACACGTGTGTCTAGGAATTTTTACTTTACAACTAAACGTTGGCGACATTGAATTTATATAATTCAAATTAAAAATGACTTTATTAATATATTAGCTAATTATTCAGTGTTTAAAGTTTAATTTACAAGAATCATTGTTAATAGCACTTGAATAGTGCTTTGGATTGGATTTTGTATTGTGTAACCGTGTTATGTGGAGTGTTTTTGGTTACTGATTATTTATTTGGACGGAATAATTGTTTCATTGCAAAATACTTTTATTAAAGAGAGCTTAATAATTTCAATGAGATTTTATTTTCATCTTTTTGGTTCTTTTATCACAATGCTTGAAGAAAGTACACAGTTAGGGACATTAATCTTACTCTATTGGTATGACATTTCTTCAGTTCAAACAACCGTTTTTATTTTTCAGCTGTTTTGAGGTTTTTGGTTTTGGCGGTTCCGAAAAAGAGGTTAGAATGTCGTTGTAGTATTTTATTTATTTTTAACATGTACATAGAGGATTTAAAAACTGATTTCTATGAGTTTCTAACAGGAAAGGTGCGTAAAAAATTATTCTTTATATTTTTTCTTATATAATCCATAACAGTTTATTGGCAGGGGGTCTATTACAAAGTGGGGATGTTTTTTTATTACAATATGCAGTTATTGGTGTACACTTGAAAATTTTATTAATCTCTCCTTTTAGAGGATTTTTCTTATGATCCACTATGATATAGACAGCATCTGTACGTGTAAAATTTTACAATCGCTACTGAAATACAAGCACATACTATACACATTAGCCGTTATACGAGGTATCGAAGACTTGAAAACAGCCTATCGGGAGAATTGCAATGATGTGAAGTACTTTATACTAATAAATTGTGGCGGGACCATAGACATAGTAGAGGAATTGGAAGCGGAAGACGACGTGATCTTTTTTATTCTGGATAGTCACAAACCCACAGACTTGTGCAATATATACAGTATTACACAAGTTCGATTATTGATGTCTCCAGAAGATGATTCTTTGGTACCCGATTTTCATGACGTGTTTAGAGAAGAGGTAAAGTAAATTTATGTGTTAAGACGCTTAATAAATGATAGCTTTGTAGTCCGATGAGGACACTGAAGGAGACGACGAAGACAGTGAGGATGGAGAGAGCCAAGTTGCTAAACGTAGAAGGATGGATGAAGCGGCAATAAACAAAAGACGAGAAAAAAGACTGTGGGAAGACAATAAGAAAAAATTAATGTTTGATTATTCTCAGTTCACTTATTATACGAGAGCCGTAAGCTGTTACGTTTAATTGAGGTGAATTTTATTTTAATATACAATATTCTTTTAGAGTGCAATATACATGTTCGATTTGGCTTGGAAGCTAAACAGGGACGATAAAGAGTCGCTATGGCTGACAATCGTAGCTCTCACGGAGCAAATGCTTCTAGGAAAAATTGAAAACACCCAATACACCCTAGAAATGGGCACGTTACAGAGCCACGCTACTAGGTTACACAATAAAACGAGCGATACTGACGTTTTGACATCACTTAAAATTACTTTCGAGAGAGACTTGAGGCTGTGCCTCTACAGGCACTGGACGGTGGAATCTAGCCTTAAATATTCCATGTTTACAGCTGTCAAGTTAAAACTGTGGTCACTAAAAGGCGACAAGCGGCTACACGAGCTGTTGGCGGATATGGGGTAGGTTTTATACTGAAACAATACAAAATTTAACTTATCGTATTTCAGATTCCCGTTAGTTCAGAGCCGTCAAGCATTCAGAACGATGGACTTGCAACTCAGGAAAGAATTTCACAGTACACTCGAGAGGCTGTCTGAGAAATACGGACTGCAGGACATCTCATACGTGTCGTTCACGTTACAGTACGGTTACAGGAACAAATATTGTGCGTCGGATATCGTCTTTGCTCTCTTGGCAATTCTGGAAGCATCAGTAGGTATTCGTTTATCGAATTTTTAATGTAACTCATTAGCGTTCTTTCAGCCTAGGGGTAAAAACCCCGATGAACTGTTCAACTTGGCCCTGGACTGCCTTTCGAGGAACAAAAAGGAAGTGATCGACAACGCGATAGAAAGGGCCAAATTAATAATGAAAACCCTGTTTAAAACGGTCCAAAGTGCCTTGGACATGAAGCAGATTATCATAGCGGGACCCTTCATCTATTACATCATCCAAGAGGTAGGTGTTACGCTTTATCGTGTTCGATAAATCACCAGGTACGTTATTTTTTGCTGCAGGGTTGTCTGGATTGGTATATGTTTTCTCACCCGCATATTTTGTTACTTTTGGCGCATTTTGTATTAAAGGCGTACGTGGCGATGTCCAGGAAGTCGAAAGCTTCGACTTTGCCGCTCGTCTTGTCAGCACCCAAGAATATCGATGGAGGCACTTGTATATTACTTGGAATACCGCCTCTCTGCGAAAATTCCCCCAAAAAGTAAGAAAATATTATTGCATCTTTTTGTATCGCCTCATATAACTTTTGTTGCAGTTTTTTCGGAAAGGCGTTTGCACAGGCAGCAGAGAGAATAAACTGTGATGCCAGTTGTGATTTTTTCGATACGTCTTGTAAGAACTTACTTAATTTTAATCTTTTTTTAACTAACAGTTTTTTGTTTAGATTTCGAGATACACGTAAAGGACAGAACAAGATTTTTCGATGCCCTAACGGCCTTATTAAGTTGATATCTATTAGTAGTACAAATAATTCTACAGATCGATTTGTATATAATTATGGTTTCCAATTATTTATTCATTCCCTTGTAAATATATATTTTTACTGTGTAAAACGCGTAATTGTACGATTGAATTTATTTTTCCTTAATAAATTTTAACACTTTTTAACTGGCTTTTACTACGGACAAATTTTTTAGTTAATTACCACTGAATAGGAATAACTAAAAATAAATCAGTTGTGATTATGATCCAAATCCTTGTGGAAAATGTTTGACATTTCTTATGATATTTTACACCAACCAGCGAAGGAAAATAATACAAATGTAAATCTGTTGTTGCAAGTATTCTTTTTTTATTTGCCAAAATGGGTGATTAGTAATCTATCGCACTCAATAGTGATGTCATTTTCTATTAAGTGGAATCGAACTTTTTTCATATTTTAAAGAGAATCGCCCAGTATATGTTTTTATACTTCGTCCGATTTACATTTAATTGTATTGACTTGAGACGTTTGAACTACTGACATGGTATCTACTACTAAAACTTAACCTCAATTTTTGAAGTACTGAAAATATTAAAACCGAATATTAAACATATGACGGTGTGATGTGATGTAATAATAGAAGTAAATATTACATTTTCCAAAATTTTCCAGTTCTGAAGTCGTACAATGTAATCGGAACTATCTTTTAATCGCATCACATATCGTCCTCGGTCTAAACAGCAACATAAAACGCTCAAAATGAATTTCAAGATGTCATATTTTCGATTTACCCAAAAACAGATCCGTTTCTTGTCTAGCAAATCAAAGAACCATTACGAATCTCTGGGTATACCCTCGAGTTCGACACAGAGTGAAGTAAAGACCGCTTACTATAAACTGTCAATGCAGTATCACCCGGACAAAAGTCAGAGTACCGAGTCCTCGCAGAAATTCAGAGATATAACAGAAGCTTACAAGGTGTTAGGAAACGCAAAAACCAGGAAGCTTTACGACAAAGGTAATAAGAGTCCCGTAGCCTTTACTGGTAGTTGATTTGTTTGATCTTTAAGGTTTGTACTTTGGCGGGGCTGCCTCCGTTACTACAGATGACAGCACCAACAAGTTTCACAAGTCGAGAGAAACCCGTTCTCGACCACCACCGCCTACAGGCAGGACACCGATATACGATTACGACGAGTGGTCTAGAAGCCACTATGGCGCTACTTTTCAACGCCAAATGGCGTATAAAAGGAGAATGCGAATGCACAATCAAAAACGAGAGCAGGACCTCAACGACGTCAAGCTGGAAAAATTACTCTTCGTGCTTGGGCTTGTACTTGCTATATGTATGTATCTTTTCCGTGATAAAACCGATTACGACGAGGTTTCTTATTTCTCTTTACGGCCGTCAAAACCGAAAACCCAGGATTGACGTGACGTTTTGTCGTGTTTATTAGGTGAATTTGAAACTTAGACAATTAAATTACATACTGTTTTTACGTTTTGTTTTGTTTGTAGTTTTCCTTTACTTTTATTTCTATTTGTACAGATTATTTATTTTTTTAAATAAAAATGTGTATATACAGAATATACTGAATACGTTTAAGTTTTGTGGCAACTTACAGTTGAACTTTGCAGGTTACGATATTGCCGCTATATATTTAATAAAATCTGCTTTCCGAAATCTTGACAACAAGGAAAAGTAGAAGATTGAGTAGCGACTGCAACCTATAAATACATTGTTACTTACGAATGTGCAATAAAAAATTACAAGTGTATTTTGAGGTGTTATTTGCTACATTTTTAATTATAGAGGCGCACCAAAATAATTTATGTATGTTGCGCTTTTTGTATTTTGTTTTTTTTTTTTTTCAAACTCGAAGCGTAAACCTTAATAGTCCAGTTAGTAGAGGTTCGGCCTGTGTCAAAGTGTCAAACCTTGATAACCCAGTAATAACTACACAGGTCTACTTTAAATGATGAGTAGAATAACAGGCTAATTTGCTGACAAAGTATTTTATCGGAAAAAAAAGTTATTAACAATTTAATAGTGAAAAATTTTTTTTTTAGTGGTTTTCTTTAAATAACAGCGGGATGACTTTGTACCAAAAAATGCTTAGGACATGATTTTGTTCGTAATAAAAAGAGCTACAAAATGGCGGTGGTCCGTTTATGAAATTTTTAATAACAAAGCCGTGAGATTGAAAAAACGGTATAAAACGTCAATTTTTTAAAGTTGCTGTAAAAACGTTAATTATAAACAAAAAGTGATAAAACTTTTGAAAACTATGGTTCAATATATATACAATAATGACGCTAAAGCCGAAAATCAGGAGAGCAAAACTTTTTTCTATTTTCTCTACATTCATCGGTATCTGAAACTCAAAACTTTGCCAAATTTGTTCGAAGCTTTGCTGACACTTGAAATTTGGTATACACATAGTGTAAATATGCAGAAACCAAAAGCAATTTGCAAAATTCAAGTATCTTCATTTTTGCAGTTTTGGTAAGATTTTATATGTCATTCTAGTTTTATATGTCACCGTTGTTTTAATTTTTAGACGTATATTTATAAAATATTCCATTACGGTAGATTAGCCAGCACAATTACCTACAATTTAAAAAAAATAATAATTTTCATCGTTTAGATCCTAAGCTACTTAACATTTTGCGCCCATTAGCCGTAGTCGTACATTATTCAACATATCAACATAAAACAAAAACGTACGTGTGGGGTAAACCTTTAACTTTAAGTAAACAATTGATTAAATTTACTGTTGCATATAAGAGCGGAGCTCGCGCTTGAAAAAGAAAAGTTATAATAATTTTCGAAATAGTGTTGAAATTTAAAACCAATTTGACATTCTCTAGAATGTCTCTATAGATGCTTAATGCGGAATAATGAAACATAGGCTAAACCCAGAAGTCGTACACTTGTGCGGGAGAGGGGGCCACATATTATTATTCAGTAGACCTTATGTGTGGTGGGGATCGAACCCGTGACTGGCATTCATCAATTTATGTATTGACACCTTGAACCACTCTATTATCAACCAACCGACTGTATAAATACGTATACCAGTGGTCCGACATTAATATAACCTTTTTTCATAGAAAATTACTCAAAAAATCATTTAAAGTTTGCCGATGTACTTATTTAACACCCTGTTATAAAAAGACTAATATCGCATACATATATTTATCTTTTTTTAATCTCTACATTAAAATCAACAAGTTTTATTACTATTATACGTATAATATGTCTTAAACAATATTTACCGTAATTTATCCACTGTATATCACAAGATAATGCAAAGTTACACGAAAACTATCTTTATAACTATACATAAATTTGTAATATGAAAATATATGTACAAAAAGCTAACAAATTATAGTAAAAAAATCGTGGAATCGTTTACCAGCTGTTCGAGTTACATATTCTCATAAATCCTTACAATTAAAGATATATTAAATCTAATTTGAGGTCTGTGTAGGTTCGGACAACCTAGAAATTCAACAAATTCAATGTTTTATGAAAATATATATTGTAACTGAACGTAACAGAGGATTTTAACCCTAATAATGATTCTGGAAATAGTTCATGGTTGGCGGCATGGGCATACCTAATGGGCCGGTAGGGTAGGGGACAGCGGAAGGTCCAATGGGGTAAGGCACGGAGCTGGGGATGTTATTAGGTACCCCCGGGAAATAGCTGGAATTGATGTTAACAGGGGGTGAGTTTATATAATTGGAGATATTATTAAGTGACGGGTCTCTCTGCAGAATTTTTGACAGTTTTTCTGCTTTTATCAACCTCATGTGCATCAATTCTCGTTTTGTTAAGAATTCATCTAAAAAATCATCCAATTCGATTTCTTTATCTAAGAACTTTTTGGCGATGCTGTCCGATTCTTCTTCCATCTCACTAGCGGCTGTTTGAAGCAACGCCAAGGCAGTTTCTAACGACATGTCACCCCCTTTTTCTCCTATAAATGCAACGTACATCATTTTAGCACAAGATTATAACTCCAAAGTAACCAAAACTCACTTAGCTCGTTGGTTTTCTCCTCTACAGTTTTTGTGAGTTGTTCGCCTTCCTCGGTCGACTGTCGCAATTTTTCTCTACCTTCGACTAACTCTGGCTCTTTTGATAAATTAAATTCGGCCATAGAATTGTTGCTGGCCATTAGGGTCTCCTTCTCCTGTTCGATCTCTTTCAAGTACGACTGAAATTAATAGATTAGGTCTGAGTCACAGTATCAAAATAGAACTAACCTGATCGAGTTGAGCCAAGATTTCTTCGATTTTTTCATCGTTATTCATAATTTCATCTAATTCGTCGTTAGTTAGAGACGACAGTTGGGAAACGGCCCGTTTACAGTCCGCTTGTAATATTTCTATAGACATTTTTCTATCGTAAACAAAAGACCCAAAAACAAAATGGAAATTAATTGACAGTTGACATTTGAACTACTACTAAAGAGTACAACATAACAATTACGAAAAAGTCAAATTACCTACTACTCAATTTCTTGAATTCCTTAAATTAATAAATATTTGTTTAAAGATTCTGTAATAAATTATGAAGCAATAACACCAACTCATCTTTATTTTATCAACATATGTCATTTTTTTTATTTTTGGTTAATTTAAATATAAATACCAATCGAACACTACTCAAAAACAGAACTACTACTCGGTCGTAGAGTAGACGTAGACGCCTAAATTCTAATTGTTGTAGGGTAGAGTTATCGTACTGTACTCTGTACTGATCATTTTTAATTTTTCATAAAGAAAATGTCTTCTGCAGTCTGCAAAATATTCACCATGGCCAAAACAGGTAAAAAGTCACAACCCAAGTGTTAAATGCGATGTGTATTTAACGTAACATCTGCTAAAAGTCCCGTATAATTTTGGGGTTAACCTCAAAACTGTTTCATAATCACAATACTTCAATGCTATCAAATTTTCTAGGGTCGAGGATTGCAAGGCCATGTGTACAATTAGTAAACCAGAGATATATCGGCAGCCCCCCGAAAGATGGATACATATACGTAAACGATAAAGAACCAGGCATGGATATGAGTTCCATCACGGGTAAATATTTTTTCGTCGTACTACACATTCCTTCAAAACACCTATTTCAGACCGTGCCGCCCAGACAATCTTCTTCACTGAATTAGTAAGAGGTTTCGGAGTTACCTTGGCTCACATTTTCAAAGAGCCAGCTACCATAAACTACCCTTTTGAAAAAGGTCCTTTGAGCCCCAGATTTAGAGGCGAACATGCCTTAAGGAGGTATCCATCGGGAGAGGAGAGGTGCATCGCTTGCAAACTTTGCGAAGCCATTTGTCCCGCCCAAGTAAGTATACATGGCAGTTAAAAACTATCGCTACCATAAAACGGTTCCAGGCCATCACGATTGAAGCCGAAGAGCGTGCCGACGGATCGAGACGGACCACGAGGTACGATATCGATATGACGAAATGTATCTACTGCGGATTTTGTCAAGAGGCGTGCCCGGTAGACGCGATCGTGGAAGGTCCCAACTTTGAATTCTCTACGGAGACCCATGAGGAGTTACTGTACAACAAAGAGAAGTTGTTGAACAATGGAGACAAGTGGGAGAGCGAGATTGCGGCAAATATCCATGCCGATCATCTCTACCGTTAAATTGAGTGGCGTAGTAGCAAGTTGTATAGAAATTGTATGAGTATTTTAAATTAAAATGTTGTAATTTAGTGCTATTTTATTTATTTGCTACTCGCAGTGTTCTGGGTGTTGCTTAATACATCGACAAACTTTACTTGATGATTTTTTGAGCGATTTTAAGCCTTGTAAAAAGAACAGAAGGTTTAGATAATGTTCAATTGAGGAATTCACTCATTTAAATGGACGTTTCTGCTCACTACGATGCTCTAATATTGGTACGAGCAGATAATAATTATCCCGAGCATTGAATAGGCCGATTTCCAGAGCACCAGGTGTATGCCCTACAACTTGACCACTACGGTCACCTGACCTAAACCCATTAGATCATTTTGATTAGGTGATTTTTTAAAGGAAAATGCCCACAGTACATAGAAAAGAGGATATTTCTTTAAAATAGACCATGAATGGGTTGAAAAAAATGCTTATTTATATAAAAAAACCTTTATTAAATATTATTTTTAAGAAACTTTACAAACAAAAAATAAATATTTCAAGACAATTTGGAACCCCGCTTTGCATACAACTCTACACATGGAACACAAATATGTACAAATCATCGAGTCCATATTTTTATACCCTGGCCTAATGTTTTGAATTTTATTCGGAATAAAATGAAATGTACATAACTTTACACCACTCTCCTGACTTCAAAGAACCTTTTAAGGTAGTACACTTGCCCCATGGTCATAGCCACTAGAATAAGAGCCTCAAAGAAAGACCACATCACAACCCTCGAATTCGTGCTTTCGTTTATACTACGATGGATCCTATCACGCACTTGCATGTACTCTTGCTCTTGTTTTACACCCGTAAGGGAAGCTAGAAAGTAATTATTCGTAAAACGCATGTTATATTCTAAAGAAATTAATTACAACTAACCACTTAGCTCTCTGATCATGTCCTCTAACTTATTCGTTGTTTCTCCCTCTTGGTGTTCAGCTTTGGGCGATTCTCCAATAGCCATATTGAACATGACTACCTTAGGAGTCATCGTGGACATTTTGTTCGAGAAGCAGTATGTGTACACACCTTGCGCGTGTGCTGCAAAGGTGTACTTGCCCGAAGTCTCTCTCTCGCCTTGGTATATGGTTTTACCATCAGGTCCAATTATGCGTACGTCGATATCCAAGAAACCGCCTTCTGCTATTTCAAAGGTCAGACCTGAAGAGTGGTAAGGTATTTAGTAAGGGCTCTTTGCGTATGGAGAAAGTTCAAATGTAAGTATTGACATGCTTGTTTACCCATTTTGGTTCCTGCTTCTACTTTGTCAAAAAAACATTCTTCGGCGTGTGCGTCTACTGTAATGAAATATGCCAGGCTTTGGTGGACACATATTGTGAATAACATAAATAAGGTAATGATTTTATCCCACATTTTCGTCTCTGCTTTAAAACTGCACTAAGAAATGACGGAGACAGCCACGTAACCTATATTTCTAAAAGTAAAAAAAATAGTTAGCGACATCTAGACCAGTTTGACGACAACTTTATTGAGTGAACTTAGCAAACTAATTTGTATTGAATGCACAGAAAAAGTTGTATAGGATCAAGATCTTTATACAACTTTTACTGATCTTGGTATAGGATGATAATTCTCTACTTCTCGACAACTCGCGTTATAAAAGCGCCTCTTTTGAAGCGTTACCGTAAGAGAAGGAAATTCACTAATTGTGTTCCTTAAGATTTATGTGATTTAATTTTAATTGAATTATGCACGTTGTTCCGATTTACAGGAGAATAGATAAAAAAAATAAATGACGATAGATATTTTTTTTTTCATTTAAATTTCTGTGCGGACAATCATTTTAAGCCTGTACTGTTTATTTCTTAAATTTTAGTCCATTAATTTCAAACGCCAATCCTTTCTTTAGCTGTTAGATTACATAATATAATACGATCATGTATATCGAGTACAATAATTTTGATTCTTTTATAGAATATCATTGCACCGAGTGAACTACACCCAATTGCATTTTGTATTTTATTAAAAATGTAAATCACACGCGCACCTTACGACGCGTTCCCTTACCAAGGGACATGTCAAATGTAGGAGAGTGCAGCTCCCGATTGAGTGCAATGGCGAGAATGAAATGTTTACGTCATTACTTGTGTTATTAATCGAGAGTGAAGTTTGACAAGGCGATCTGTTGAAAGTCTTGTTTTTAAAAAACTAGTTGACATTTTATAATAGAAAAACCTATTAATGCTTCGGAAAAGTAGTCGGAGAACCTAGGAAACAGACCAACGAAAGAAAATGGCCAGGGATTATGACCATTTATTTAAACTGCTCATAATAGGTGACAGTGGTAAGCACGGTTGTGGGCGGGGTTTAAATAATGTGGTACTTTGTAATTTTTTTATTAACGTTTTCGTCCCGCAGGAGTCGGGAAGAGCTCTTTGCTGTTGAGGTTCGCCGACAACACCTTTTCCGGGAGCTACATCACCACCATAGGGGTGGATTTCAAGATAAAGACTGTCACTTTGAATGGGCAAAAGGTTAAGTTACAGATATGGGATACCGCGGGACAGGAAAGATTTAGGACTATTACCAGCACGTAAGACGATTATCTTATATTTGAACAAATTGCCTAGTGAATTATACTTTGCAGATACTATAGGGGGACACACGGAGTCATCGTTGTCTATGACGTTACGAATGGGGAGAGTTTCGCCAACGTGAAGCGATGGCTGCACGAAATCGAGCAAAATTGCGATCTAGTAAATAAAGTACTGGGTAAGTAAAAGGTGCTCGTTAAAAATAAGCGTATAAATGAACTTATCTTGGAATTTATTACAGTCGGCAACAAGAATGACACCCCGGAACGTAAAGTGGTGCTGACGGAGGATGCCCAGCGTTTCGCCGCCACGATGAACATCCAGCTGTTCGAGACGTCTGCCAAAGACAATATAAACGTGGAAGAAATGTTCATGTCGATCACGCGGCTGGTCCTGGATTCCAAATTAGAACTGAAGCGGCAAAACGTGACACAGAACGAAACGGTTAATCTAAGGAAGTCGAATAAGTCCGGGAAGAAGAGCAAATGCTGTTAACCCGTAGTAAATGTTGAAAGATCGATTCGAGTGTCTGTGGACGCGAGTGTTTTTAATTTAGGGATAGCGTACCTCTCGTCTTCTGTTCTTACCCGCATTGTGAAGTACGCCTCTTCAGACGGAGGCCTGTAATTTTTATTTGGATTCGTTAAGTGCTTGTATATAACCGAGATATGTAAATATGATATTTTTAGTTTAGATTAAAGGGAGATTGTTTCGCCTTCTGCCAATTCTTACTTGTAGAGAGTGGTTACCCAAATCGTTAACTTGTAAATTTATTGGAGGGTGCGACGAGGAGATTAGTTGATAAAATGTAATTTCCATTCACGGGGCGCCGTCCCCCAAGACCAGTTTTAGTGATTCCTCAATTTGTAGTCCAGCATTTTTAGCGTGATTTGGAAGATAGCCGGTATAAATGTATTTTGTACAAAATATAAATAAAAAAAAAGAAAGTAATTTGGTGTTAGTAAAAATTTTACAGTTTTCTAGTGAGTGTTCATCCATGTCGGCTTGTCCTCATTCCGCGGGAACAGATTCGCTTCGAGCTGTAAATAGATTCGTGCAGTCTTCGTCCTGAATCAAATCTAGACTCGGATCCGTTGTCTATTTAATTATATTCCTTTTACTTGTACAAGAGATATTCAATAAATGATATTTTTCCATACATTTTATAACGCATATCATAATTTTATAGATGGTATAATTAATGACAATATTTAAAAAATATATTTATTAAATGGTGCATTTACTATTTTATTTACCGCAAGTGTTAATGTGTAATTTGTTTATTATTAAATAAAATGAATATTTGTTGTGAAAACGTTGCTTTTCATTACACAATCGGTAATACGGCTTCTTTTAAGTTAACGAAAGTGTTTATTTTGTTCCATTTCAATATCTCTTAACATCAGAAATAAAAGACTAAAGAGAAAATTTCGCCTTTTATTTATAATCTTCCTAAAAATTTTTGTTCTGTTTGGTATTTTCAAACGGTTTAAATCGAATTGTATTTCGCGGTTCTCCATCGACAAAATAGTTCCCGTCTTTACGTGCGGGGCGCATGCGCCGTTCCGAAGAATCAAAATGGCAGCGTCAACAACGGCGCCAACTATGTGAAATGTCAAAGCAGTATTTTTTGTAAATAAATGGGGAAAAACCGTTGAAAATAAAGAGAAAATACTCAAGGAACTTAACCTAGCAAATCTCGCTGGTGTTTAATTAACTTATTTTAATGTGTGGTAGTAATTTTAGAATAAAATATGGAGCCAATCGTTGACTAACCAATAAAAAAATTAAAAATTACCATAGCATTTGCTACTGCGATCCGTACAAAACCAGAGGAAAGACAGTACAAATAATCTCAAAGTAAAAATGACTACCATTGAGTACGATCTAGACACCTCTGGGGGTCTGATGGACGTGAGTAGACTGTCTTTTGTATTTGCATGAAAAATTAAGGCTAGAAAATGGCGGAAATGGTGATTGGAGGGTATTTCACACAGAACGTCTCATAAAACGCTTCTACTTAATATATACATAAATGTATGACATTCCTGCTTAATTTCCATTTGTTTTTGTGTACGTGTAGCGAAGGTCATTGCCAGCTTTTGTCATGCACGGCATGAATTTTGCTTTATATATAAAACTAAAAAACTGCTACGCCCGTTACAATAAAACATTTCCACTACTAAGTAGTTATTATTTTAGCAAATTCAAATGCTGATAGCTCCTCCACAAAGCGATGAGCCCAAGGAGAAATGCAAAAAACCTTCGGCCGAACACCCGTACTATAAGAGACCCGGTAAGGGTCATAACCATGACAGTTGTGACGCTTGTAGCGAGGGAGGAGCATTAATATGTTGTGACAAATGCCCGTCTAGCTTCCACTTGGGCTGCCAGTACGTTCGAACTGTACAACCCAAGGATATTTGTAACATGTATTTCATTTTTCAGTGATCCACCCCTGGACCAACAAGACATACCTCGCGGCGATTGGCTTTGTCACTCTTGTAAATACGCTAAGAATCACATTTCGGTACCTGAGTTGAGAAGTAAAAGATCTAACAGTACTCCTACTCCGGCTAGTACCTCTGGGTTAAAACCGGCAAAAAAGCTAAAGCTTAGTGCTATTGACATGCTGATTGAAGCAGCTAATTCGATGAACCCCAGGCAGTTTGAACTGCCTAGAAGCATGAGTTTCCCTTGTATATTTCCAGGAACCGACAAAGGTATTACTTAAAATTAAGTTGTTGGTGTTCTCAATAAAGGGAATACTATGAAGTTACCTTATATTTATGTGAAATTGCCATATTTAATCTCTATAGGAACTGTTGATAGTTTTAAGTACCTATTAATCGTATTTTTTTAGTGGAGATACCTTATTCTAAGACAGGCCGAAAAAACGGGAAAATTAAGAAGGACCACGTGAAAGGACCCAGCGGTATAATACCGTTACCGGCAAAAAAGTGCAGCGAATGTAGGAAATCGTGCAGGATAGCGCCGTTGATATCTTGCGACTTTTGTGAACTTTTCTATCACTTGGATTGTCTGGATCCTCCCTTAACGTCGCCCCCTTCTGGTAGGTGGATGTGCCCTAAGCATGTGGAACATTGCCTGGTGAGTAATATCAAACTTGTAAATTGTTATTTGTAAAATATAACCTACAAAATGTATGTCAAATCTTAAATGTCATTGCTACTCAAAGCCTACTCTCACAAAGTGTTATTTTGGACCTACTGACAGAATGAACTACTAATGTAAGTGCTAGTTGAAATTTCAATGTCTGCTAGTTATTGGGAGATATTCAATGCTGAAGAGGGTGTTTAGTTCGCAGAGTAGTTGTCTCCAACGATGTAATCAGTTAAAATGTAATAGCCCATTTTGTCATGTGATATTTAATTTTTATTTGTGATTCCAGGACATGAAACTCCTCACATCGATTTCCGCTACGGAGAGGGTGAAGATATGGGACAAATTCACCGGTCCCGTGGATCAGGACTCCGTGAAGTTGGAGTTTTTTAGGAAAATCCACAGGAAGAACCCCCCCTTCCGGATAAAAGTACCCTTGCCGCCTAAGAACACGGTTACTGTGCCGGAGATGGTGAGGTACCACTACAAAAAACCAGTTAACCTGCTGCCAAGATTGAGGGACGTGTTGAGGCTGGAGTGCGTGAACAGGAAGCGTGACGAGGAGTGTGAGGCGGTGGAAGAAGTGAAAACGGAGGATATCGAAGACTGCATAGAAGATAGTGTGAAATCGGAACAGGATGGTGACAGGAACAATACGGAGAGTGAATCTAATTGTGATATAGTTAAGGGTAATCAAAAAACGAGTAAACGGCACGAACATTTAAATTCGAACTCAGAGGGGAGCAGTAATAGTTTGTCGGACAGTGTTGAGTGGACGCCGGTTAACGGTTATGTGAAAAACGAACACTTGAACGGCGGCTACTTCGAGAAGGAGTTAATCAAGAAGGAACACAGTTTTATATCGGACATGATATCTGGGATGACCATGGAAAGTAAGTGCATTTTAGATGTCACTTGTTTGTGTGTTAGATATAACCTGCAAAGTATATGTCAAATGTGTCATATTGTAAATGTCATTGCTGCTACATTGCCTAGCGATTACTTTGTACCTACTGGCAGGTAGGTACAAAGTAATGCTTTGTGCCAGTAGGCCTTGAGTGTCATGTCGTATATTTTACAGGTTATATCTCACTTGTTTGTCTACTGGATTGTTTTTCTTTTTATCTGTCCCACAAGGCTTTGATTAAATTGTCCAGTTCTGACTAATAACATTTTATTGCTAGCTATGCAAATTTTTTTATCTATACTTGTAGTAGTTCATGAAATCTTAAAAGTGCATCAAGTTAGGAAGAGTAAGAATTAATATACAGACAGACATTTATGATTTGGTAGTTTTATTTAAAGCTTAATTAAATTAATAATAAATACAGAAACTTGCAAACTTTTTTTTTACTTTATGTCTTCTAGAGATTGGGATGTAATTGATTCGTACTTTTTTAAAGGAAGAAAATATACAGGGTAACTAAGGGAAGGGAGGCTAAGATGACAGTAATAAGCATATAATACATAATCCTACATACCACCAACTTTTAGTAATTTTTTGTAAGTTATTTCTATTTCTTGTTCCGAATAATATTTTTGTTGTTTTTGTATTTTTAAAGGTACCATTTTTTAAAATATTTATAACGATACAGGTCAGATTATTAAGAACAACAAATATTTAATTCAAATTTTTCTAACATTTTACTTATTTAATTAACATTTTGTGTTGAAGGAATCACAATATACAGAAGAAAAAAAATGTACAGAAATAAATAAAAGTATACACAAACAGACTTTTCTATTACGATTAGACAATTATTTTAATAAAAAGATTTGAGATTACATTTAAATTGTGACATTGAGACAAAGAAATTCAAAATTTGATAAATCTGACCTACAACATCTGGAAATAAAAAAATGAGAACTATAATTTGTTGGTTGAAGATGTGTGATGGAAACGATATATTATATTTTTCTAAAAACTCTATTTACAAATTATTACATGTTAATTGAATAAATTTTTAAAAATTAGTATTTAAAATTTATATATTTTCTTGAGATTTTTCTCATCTATGATAATACAAACTTTTTTCTTACTCATCGTAAAATGCGCCGGTGAATAATGCCGGATAGTTTCATAACACCCTGTATTCGAAAAAGAGCAAAAACATACTTGCGAAGTAGGTTATGGAAAACAGTTGAATTATTTGACATTTTTTATGCATTTTGACATTATCTGCAATAATTACAGCACTTGTCGTCAGTTTCTTACCAGATATTTATTAATTGGTAAACTTTACACTTTAATCATTCCAGTAACTAAAAAAAATAGTGTTCAGAATGCAGTTTCACCCTTTTTGAATTAATTTTTTTAGTGGAGTTGGAGTTGAGGCAACTGGACGACAGACTCCTCAAGCTTCTGGCTTATCAGCGGATCCAGCAGCTGGTCAACACCCCCCCGTCCCCGAACAACCTCTTCTCGGCGAGTCTGAAGGAGAAATTCCGTCAAATGCCGCTGCCCAGCGAACTGCTCACCCCCGCCGACATCGACAGGATATCGAGGGTCTTCTCCAGCCCCAAAAAGAAAACCAAGCCGAAATCTACCATCCGAGCCCGTGCCATGCTCTGCCCTGTCGTCTCTAAGCACTTCTACAACGTGAGGACGACGGAGGTCGACCCGACCGAGGTGAGGCACGATGCCAGCTTCATGGGCTTCCGACCCACCGTGTCGGCCAGGTTCCCTGAGGCGGTCGCCATGCGGTACAGGGTGCTGAACGTGGGCAAGGGCTCGGCCAACGACGTCGACCTGGAGAAGTTCGGTTACTGCAACTTCATCGTTCCCAAGCACGCCGTCATCTTCTACGACGAGGTACGGTGGTCGTTTAAAAGTCTTTACAGTTGTCTTGGAATCTGATTGTTTCAGTACACGAAGCACTACGAGCTGATAAACTACTCGCCGTATGGGACGTACGTCAATAACGTGCTGTATTCCAACAACGTGTCGGCGAAACGTTCGGAGGCGAACGTTTCGACGGACGAGAAGAGTGCCAACGTGGAGATGCAGGTGAGGGAGATAATCGACAAGAAGAGGAAGATCAGCAGGGCCAGGAAGAGCTCGTTCGAGAGCAAGATGTCGGCCGTAGACTGCATTGACAAGTAAGTGCAGGATTTTGGTTTATGTAAAACGTCTGCTATGGGGAGCGCAAGATTTAAGGGAGATTTCGGGTGACAATTAGCGAAATACAGGGTGTAAGTAAAATGCTTGTGAAACTTTAATGGACGATTCTACGAATCAACGAAAAAAGTATTTTTCTATAAATATGTGTCTGCGGAGTCCAATTTTTGGAAATTGGGGTTAATCTCGGATTTCTCAATTTCTAGGGTCCCAGAATTGGGTTGGGAAATATAAGTATAGTCTATCGCTAACCACTACTTTTTACTATTGATTTTAATTAATAAGTTAACGTAAATCAACAACTAAACCTGAACAAGGTTGATGTACAGAAATAATATCTAATCTCCAAAAAAAAATATGTAGGAAAAACAGAAAACTTATGCTCTATTTCACAAAGAAACTACTTTTTTTTTCTTATTTAAAAAATTAATAATGGTACCATTTGCAACTTTATGTTGTTTTTGTTAGGAAATATTACCTAAACTACTGGTAGGTCAAATGTGCCGATTGTAGTTTATTTGTTTATTAGGTTGATATAAAAAAAGAGAATTTTTGTTATGATTGAGACTTTTTTATTTTGTCATATAGTGCAAAAATAAGTTTTTCTATGAAAATACTGCATTCTGCTAGGTAGTCCTGTAGCCAGGGGGGTCCCAATTTTCGGGTAGAAGTTTGCCCGGATGTCGATAAGTTTTTTATTAACAAAAAACTTGCAAAATACTGAGAACTTAGTTTTTGGCAAAATAAGAAGTATTTTCTTGTTCTTTTTCATTTTAAGAAGAAAATGTCTTGCAATTTTTTCGTTAAACGCATAGTTTTTGAGATAAACGCCGTTAAAAACTCGAAAAATGCGAATTTTGCAATTTTTAATCGTTAATAACTTTTGACTGAATAGGTATTTTGTAATTCTGCTGATGGCGTTTGAAAGTTCACGTTAAATACTACAAATTATGAGAAATTGCATTGTGAAAATTTGTTTTTTCCACTGTTATTTGAGGCTATATACAAATAGCAATTGTGCGTTCAGAAGGGTGCGCCGCCATGTATGTAAGAGAACGGTTGCCTTCTTACAGGCGTTTAATACACGATCTTGATGCGTACTCTTTATTTCTAGACCAAAGAAACGAGGAAAACTGAACGAAACATTAACAATTTAATGAAAATTTGCAATATTACAATAACAAAAGACATTTTCTTCTTAAATTGGGTCAAAGAACAAGAAAATACTTCTTATTTTGCCAAAAACTAAGTTCTCAGTATTTTGCAAGTTTTTTGTTAATAAAAAACTTATCAAGATCGGGGCACCGACTTCTATCCAAAAAATTCGTGTTCTACAGATCAAAATACACAAAAAACACTCGGGTAACTCCATCTAAATGAAGGAGGCAATTGCCCCCCCCCCCCTGGCTACAGGACTAAGAATATACAGGATAAAATTTCGAATGGGGTTGTAATTCAATCGTGATTTTTTTTCCTTTATTCAACCGGTCAAACATTCGTGCATGCATTGTTGCCAAGTTTAATCTTTTCTGATCTGTATACAGGGTGTTTGTTAATGAATGGCCGAACTTTACCACTAGATTCTACGATGAAAATTAATAGGTAAAAGTCATATACAATGTTGCTCATAAACGCTTAGTCTTTGTCATCTAAATTGAGATTCACAAACTAAACACAGCGCAAACCGTACTAAGGCTAAGTTTATATAAACTTTCTTGCTTCTTTTCACCCGATAAATGTCAACTTAAAGCTTAAGCCAGACGCCCTGTACAAGAGTAAATCCGATTGACCTTCGGTGTGTTTTATTTGCAGGATGGAGTGTTACTGCTCCAACAATCCCGAGGAACTGAAGAAAGGTTGGGAGGGATCCGCCATACTGAACCACGGTTCGTTACTGAGATTCGGTTGTGTTTCTTTTGTGTTTTCGATCGTTGAATGTACAAATATGTAAGTTATGTCCCTGTAAATAATAAGTTAAGGTTATTTTTTGTAAATTGATTGTATATTTTTCTTCGAAATGGCATAATATTAAATATTAAAGTATAATTTTTTAAATAAACGTCAGCAAATATTTAAACTATCTTTTATTTGGTACCCAAGTCGCCCCGTATAAATAAATTCCCTTGGAATTAAAAGGATCACAGGTCGTTAGTGGACGGAAACCTTCCTGTTTAAAAACTCTAACGTTAACTGCAAGAATTCCGCGGGCTTCTCGCTGTGGAGCCAGTGACCCGCCCCTTCGATGAACTTGAGTTCCGCGTTGGGAAAGAATTTCAAGATTTTCGGAAAATCGCTTTTCCTGAAACAAATCGATAATGGTAACATTGCACATCCTCTCGATCCGTAAATATTCAGAATTCCACCAAAAAAACTCCCTCGAACTCACTGAATATAATCCGATTTAGCACCTCCAAGGAACAAGACGGGGCCATCGAAAACGATATGGTGAATCGCCGGAAAAGTGGTGATGTTCTCGAAGTTATCTAACAGGACCTTAATGTTGCACCTCCACCCGTAACTGGTGAAAAATTTATTTTTAACGAAAAATCGTACGGTTTTATTTAAAAAAATACCTCCCGTCCGATTTCTGCACCAAATTCGTCAGTAAGAAATTCGCAATGTCCCTACTTTTCACTAACGGCATCAGGCTCTCGCCGACGGTCTTCTTAGCCGCCGACAAAGGCATGTTTCTGGGAAGTTTTAAATTTCTCAAAGTAAGCAATATTTTCAGCACGCGTTTCAAATCCGTGCTGGTCGTGATCGGGGAAATATCGGCCACTATCAGTTTTTCCACAAGCTCCGGCTGTAAAAAAAATATAAATCACAGACCTATAAGACTTTGTCACGATATCAATGAAAGATCCGGGTCCTTACATATTTCAATGCAAACAGCATCGCGGCTCTACCCCCCTCGGAATGCCCTAGCAAATTAACTTTGTTTATGTTCCGTCCGTACATGAATCGTCTAACATCAACGGCTAAATCATCGTACGAATGTTCCTTGGAGTGGGGCGAATCCCCGTGATTCCTCGCGTCCAACGCAAACACCTTACGGGTGCTCCTGTCGTGATATTTCTTGCAGAAGCTGTTCCAGTTGTTTTTAGAACCCATCAGGCCGTGTAATATCACCAAAGGAACGGGTTCCGGGTTGTTTTTCGAGTAACTCTTTGTTAATTCGTACGAGGCGTAAGCTAAATCGAGATTATCGTCAGACTGTACCAGATAGCGTTGCTGCGTGGATTTAGGCCTCGACATCGGAACGTATGGCAATTTTTTTATGATTTCTTGAAGATGGAGTTGTGAAAACATTTTAGTTATGAAAGGAATGACAGGAATTTGGTGAATTGTCAATTGGTGACAGCGGCATATAAGTGTTACCAGCAGCAACTGGTAAAAAAGAAACGGAACCGAACGGTGGAATTCTGATCCTGATGTGATACACTTACTGTATGTAATCTGAGTTTCCTCCACCTAAGAAGAGGACAGGTGCGGTGCACTGCACATCATTCACCAAAGGAAAATTGGCGATGTTGTTGAAACACGATACCAGGACCGGTATGTTAATCCGCCAATCATAACTGAAAGTGAACGTTTTAGAATCAAATTGGTTTTTTTTATTAAACTCCCACCTTCTGTTTTCCCTTTGTACCAGATTCGTCAGCAGAAAAGCTCTAAGGGACTTGTCGGGTATGGTCTTAGACAGCTGCGTGTCTACCAGAGTTCTCGCTTTTGACAAGGATACGTCGATTGGTAAGTTAACGTTTTCCATAGCTTGAAATAATGGTGGAGTGCTGTCTAACTGGGGACTTGTCCTTACTGGCGATATATCGGCTATTATTAACCTATCAACAAGTTCTGGCTAAAACACCAAAGTTCCTTATGTTCGACTGCTGTATCTTTCTACATAATATATACACAAAATCCACTTGATACATATTACTGAATTATTGCTACAGAAAGAGCAAAGCTTTGATAATTTCAATGAAACATTTACTTACGTATTTTAAGGCAAACAGCATAACAGTTCTGCCGCCCATAGAATGCCCCATCAAAGCCACTTTTTCCAGGTGCAGCTGATCTAACAAAGCTTTTATGTCAGCTGCCATGTGAGCATATGTATGATTATCATTGTGTGGGCTATCACCATGATTTCTTGCATCTATAGCAATTATTTTCCTTTCGGGGTTAGTTTTTTGTTGGTAAACTTTACAAAGGCTATTCCAATTTCCCTTGGAGCCGAATAGACCGTGCATTATCACTAGCGGTGGAGCCTGGCCTGGAAGGCCTACTGTGCTTTCATAAGTGGCGTAGGACAGCTGTACAGGTTCTAAAGCCCCTGTACTGGACACAAGTCTCAGATGGACCTTATGGCAAGTGCTCGTCACACATTTTAATATACTAACGCTACTTCGCAATTTTGTAGGTAACATTTTAGCCTAGATTAATTTTTACCTTACAACACAGACTTTTTTTAGATAATATTTTTAGGTTGGAAAAATTTCAAATTTGAAAGCAGGGTAGTTCTGCCAATTTGTAGTTCAGAATTGAGTAGTTCGTAGGCCCTGTTAAGTCAAGTAGGTTTGTTGATTGAAGTTTGGATTTTGGATTTTTCCAACATACTTCTACTGTAGAATTATGTGGTTTCCAAGGAAATTTATAATACATGTACGAATGTATTTACAAACATTTTTGAGGTTTTTCATTGTTTTATATGGTTTGTGGTTTTTATAGTATACTGTCAATTTGACAGTGTCAAATCGATGGGTTTTTTGGTTTTTACGTTGGCTAAAATTTTTCGAGAAAATTGACAGTTCATGAAAATTGGCAAAAAAATAAAATGCTCGTCTACAGGCTGTTTTGTCTCAGCATTTTCTTGAAATAAATAATGTAATGTAATGCACATACATGCAGTGAATCATTCATTCATAACTTTTCCCCGGACTTTTCCCCCGGATATCCCCCCCCCGGACTTGTACCCGGACTTTTCCCCCGGATTTTTACCCGGATTTTTACCCGGACTTTTTCCACGGATTTTTCCCCCGGACTTGTACCTGGACTTTTCCCCCGGATTTTTGCCCGGACTTTCACCCGGACTTTTCCCCGGACTTTTTCCCAGACTTTTCCCACGGATTTCCCCCTCCCCCGACTTGTATCCGGACTTTTCCCCCGGATTTTTACCCGGACTTTCACCCGGACTTTTCCCCCGGATTTTTACCCGGACTTTCACCCGGACTTTCCCCCGGATTTTTACCTGGACTTTCACCCGAACTTTTNCTTTTCCCCGGACTTTTTCCCAGACTTTTCCCCCGGATTTCCCCCCCCCGGACTTGTATCCGGACTTTTCCCCGGATTTTTACCCGGACTTTCCCCCGGATTTTTACCCGGACTTTCACCCGAACTTTTCCTCAGGATTTGTTTCCCGGATTTTCACCCGAATTTCCCCGGACATTTTCCCCGGACTTTTCCCGGACTCTTCACCCGGACTTTTACCCGGACTTTTTTCTGGACTTTTTCCCCGGACTTTTTCCCCAGATTTACCCGGACTCTTTCTGCTTTTTTTTCCAATTGCGTAAGGATTTACGTATTTCGTTGTAATATATTTTTACATTGGATATTGATACGATCCAAAATCCATATAAGTATTTTAATTTGTAATTATTGTACGTTCTTTTTGTTACAAAATAACGTAACCCATATCGATTTGTTGACTGTTTACAACTACATATTTTCAGATGAGTCATTGTCTAAAGTCCAAAATTTCCCGTTGAATTGAATAAAATTAATAGTTATAAATAATAATTCATTTACATATTATACACTGACGTGTGTACATATCCTGTTGTAAGTTTGGTTGCCTAACATTTGTCATAGCCAAGAATCTGTTATTGTTAGCAGTGTAAATTTGGTTGCCTAACTTTTGCACCGAGAAAAGGCTTAAAAATCTCGCAAACTAGAAAAGCCAAAGGGGACCTGAATTCAGTTTTAGATTGGTTAGAGCTGTTATTACTTACCGAGTGCTAAAAATCGATGAACAGTCCATGAATATTGTCAAAAAATTAAAGTGCCCATCTAAAGGCTGTTTTGTCCCTTTTTTCTTGTAATATAATAATGTAATGTAATGTGTTGTTCATTATTAATGCATTTACCTATAATTTTTCACCGTGTTGTGCTCATTAACAGCCGCCTTTTTTCCTAATAAGTTATAAAAAAATACCAGTGAGAAAAATTTGTAAATTTGTATGCAACCAAGTATACATAGTATGGTATGTATTGTGTGCTGCCTATCCAAGAGACAAATAGATTTGGAACGAAAATGGATCTCAAAAACTGGTGGAGCTAGAAAGGAATTGAATGCAGTTCACTGGATTTTTTAAAGATTTTTCTGAATTTTTGAGAAAATCGATAGATTCATGAAAATTGCCAAAAATTTAAAGCGATCTAAGGGCGGAACGCTATTGTTTTGATTTTCTAAGAACTTTTAGAATAAAAATATTATAATAAAAAGAATATAAACTTTCTGTTACATACATTTCTATGCAGCATAGTGTACACCGCAAGTATATTACTGGTTGCCATGTTTCTATTAAATCAAACGTATTCTACTTTTACTATACAGTGTGTCCAAGGTAAGGATGGGATAGTATTAAGATCTAGGAAACGGTAAGAGATATGGGGTGTCCCAGATTAGAAAAAAGTTGTGTTTTTTTTTAATACCTAACAATATGCCGCTTAGAAAGTTTTAAAATTCCAGATAGTTCCGGAGATATCCAAAAAAAAAAAAAGATATTTGGCAAAATCGTTTTATTTTTTTCTGGCTGTATTTGAAAACGAATTCTAAAATAAACTGCATATTTACAATGCCACTTTTTTTGCTCTATCCACTGGTGTCAACATATTTGCAATTTGAAGTTTCGTCTTCGAGGGGCCATCATCAGGTTAATTTCTTTAAATACGTCACTGCTATTTTTATGACAAAATCTAGTCATTTTTAATTCTGAATTAGATGATATTATTATTGTAATCGTTTAAAAAGATTTTTAGCTTATTTTAGCTATTATTTAAAATTTTTGAGGAAGTCATAACGGTATAAAAATCAATACAGCACAAAATATTCAACAATTTTTTTTTAATCAATAATTTAACAAATCTATCTAATAAAAAAATAATACGAATTTATGAAATGTTTTATTATATCTAATTAGTATTGCTAATAGTAGTAAAAAAATTGTTGGATATTTTATGCGGTATTGACTTTTATACTGTTATGACTTCCTCTAATCAATAGATATTTTGAAAGTGTTCAGAGCCGTACTCAGGAAAAATTTTAAATGATAGCTAAAACAAGCTAAAAACTTTTTAAGCGATTACAATAGTAATATCCTCCAGAATTAAAAATGACTAGATTTTGTCATAAAAATAGCAGTGACGTATTTAAAAAAATTAACCTGATGATCGCCCCTCGAAGATGAAACGTCGGATTGCAAAAATATTGACGCCATTCAATAGAGCGAAAAAAGTGGCAGTGTAAATGTGCAATTTATTTTAAAATTCGTTTTCAAATAAAACCATAAAAAAATAAAACGATTTTGCAAAATTTTGTATTTTTCCGGATATCTCTGGAACTACCCGGAATTTTAAAACTTTCTAAACGGCTTATTGTTGGGTATAAAATAACGCAACTTATTTCTATTTACGTGAGAGCGATAAAGTAAGTCATAGAAATCCGTACGATAGAGAAGAATGGCTATAATGAAGGCGTCTCCGCCCTTCCACTTGTAATTCAGCGACCTGTAGTCACTTTTGTTTTCGTCGTTTGGCTTTTCTTTAATAGATGTCACTACTTGTACAATTTCGACTTCGGTATTCCGATATGTTAATACCATCCGTTAACAGAGGGCAGCACAACGCGTAACAAAGAAAACTTTTTACAGTAGTTAGTAGATACGTTTGTAAATCTAGTGAATTTGTTTCCCTTACTGAGAAGTTATTCAAATGGAGTATAGTGCTCAGCTGCATTTGAAGTTCATTTAGTTGTTATTTAAATATACTTTTTAATATGACTTAAAAATCCCAAGAAATAAAGCAAGATTCCCAATTTTTCTCCAATTCCAAAAAAATCTGTAGATCTGGCTTCACTCTTTCTAGGGCTGCCAGATTGTGCTGCCCTCTGTTAACGGATTGTATTAACATATCGGAATACGAAGTGGGAATTGTATAAGTAGTGACATCTATTACAGAAAAGGCAAACGACGAAAACAAAAGTGACCACCGGTCGCTGAATTACAAGTAGAAGTGGATCTTATTTGTGGAAGGGCGAAACGGGCGGTGACTATGAGACGCCTTCATTATAGCCGTCCTTTCCTATCGTATAGATTTCTATGACTTACCTTGTCACTCTCACATAAAGGCAGATGAACTATGTGGATTTTTCAGCCGCGTATACGATACATGTACTCTCGTAGGTACTTACCTCGTCATTCAAAATCCATCAATATTAAAGAAATTAATTCAAACACATTTATCACTTTAGCAAAATTAACTTAAGGAAACAATGAAATCAAATGCTCACGTAAACAATACCTATTTTTTTTTATTAAACTTGCTTAAATCATACATGATTCTTTTTTAATAAAAACCATAATTTGTGTAACAATTACCTCGATAGTACATAAAAAATTCATACACCCTATACATTATCGTTCACAATTTCATCGCTACATCCTAAAAACTGCGTATCATTTTCCCAATTCAACGAAAATCACCGCAGGGTAGTTTTTTGTTTTTCAGGGACACGAGACTACGAAATAAATTATATAATATATATATGTACCATAAAAAAGCATATCCCTTTCAAAATTACTATTTTTAAGACTAGTATATTTGGTAAAATTAACTTCAGTATAAATAATCATTTTTTTTTTTTACTATATAATATAAACAAGCATCTCATAGGTGGAATAGAAAAATCCTAGACACACCGGCGCGGCACCCTCGCGACGTCTTCAACGGCAATTCCCGAGGGCACCTCGCCACGTTAAATGCAGTTTCAAAGCTCCTGTAGCACTTACACCGCTTATGATCGACAAAAAAAAAATAAAATAAAAAAAATCGTCCAAGATTGCACCTTATGGAAAAACTGGAATGAGCGTTCTGTTCCATATCAATAGAAATGCTACGATAAGTTACATTCACTGATGAAATTAATATCTAAAGAAAGCAACGACGTTACAAGTAGTAAAAGTCGGGTGGAGAGTTGCGCCTCCGTCGCGCAACGGGAAAATAATATGCGGTCCGCCACGACCAGAGATCTTGACACGTAATGTCACGGTGGAGATGGAAAGAACTGCGATCTGTATCGCACGCGTATCGAAGTCCGACTCGATCTCGTTCGCCAAATATATTGATTACTATGAAAATCGTAATAACTCCATGATTTCCAGCACATAGTCCTGTAGCCAGGGGGGGCCCAATTGCCTCCTTCATTTAGATGGAGTTACCCAAGTGTTTTTTGTGTATTTTGAGCTGCAGAACACGAATTTTCTGGGTAGAAGTTTGCCCGGATGTCAATAATAATAAGTGTTTTATTAACAAAAAACTTGCAAAACACTGAGAACTTAGTTTTTGGCAAAATAAAAAGTATTTTCTTGTTCTTTGACCCATTTTAAGAAAATTTTCTTTGCAATTTTTTTGTTAAAAGCATAGTTTTCGAGATAAACGCCGTTAAAAACTCGAAGAATGTGAATTTTGAGATTTTCAATCGTTAATAACTTTTGACTGAATAAGTATTTTGTAATTCTGCTGACGGCGTTTGAAAGTTCACGTTAAATACTACAAATTATGAGTAATTGCAGTGTGAAAATTTGTTTTTTCCACTGTTATTTGAAGCTATATACAAATAGCGATTGAGCGTTCAGAAGGGTGCGCCGCTTTGTATGTAGGAGAGCGGTTGCCTTCTTACAGGCGTTTAATACACGACCTTGACACGTACTCTTCATTTCTAGACCAAAGAATCGATGAAAACTGAACGAAACATTAACAATTTAATGAAAATTTGCAATATTACAATAATTAAAATTATTATACAAGTTTAAAAAATAATAATTATAAAAATTATACGATGTTATGCTTTTAATATAAGTAAGCATAAACTTTTTTATTATCGTTTATAGGTAAATAAAACTAATATGTATAATTTCGCTAATTTTTTTCATATAAATCGTATAATAATGTTTACAAAGCAAATTAGAATTAACCATGCAAACATTATATCTTTGATATTTCAAATTTTCCGCGCCTTTTTAATGCATTTTGTTTTAAACGATTGTCATTTATTTTTAAAACTTGTTTGTAGTCGCGCTTCAAAATTGCACTGAAGATGTAGAATTATTAACGTTCATGTTACAAGATGAATAGCTTAATTAAATCAGATCTTTGCATTATTTGTCAAAAAAATTTTAATTTTAATTATTGTAATATTGCAATTTTTCTTAAATTGTTAATGTTTCGTTCAGTTTTCATCGTTTCTTTGGTCTAGAAATGAAGAGTACGCGTCAAGATCGTGTATTAAACGCCTGTAAGAAGGTAACCACTCTCTTACATACATGGCGGCGCACCCTTCTGAACGCTCAATCGCTATTTGTTTATAACCTCAAATAACAGTGGAAAAAACAAATTTTCACACTGCAATTACTCACAATTTGTAGTATTTAACGTGGACTTTCAAACGCCGTCAGCAGAATTACAAAATACCTATTCAGTCAAAAGTTATTAACGATTAAAAATTGCAAAATTCGCATTATTCGAGTTTTTAACGGCGTTTATCTCAAAAACTATGCGTTTAACGAAAAAATTGCAAGACATTTTCTTCTTAAAATGAAAAAGAACAAGAAAATACTTCTTATTTTTTCCAAAAACTAAGTTCTCAGTATTTTGCAAGTTTTTTGTTAATAAAAAACTTATCGACATCCGGGCAAACTTCTACCCGAAAATTGGGACCCCCCTGGCTACAGGACTACCTAGCAGAATGCAGTATTTTCATAGAAAAACTTATTTTTGCACTATATGACAAAATAAAAAAGTCTCAATCATAACAAAAATTCTCTTTTTTTATATCAACCTAATAAACAAATAAACTACAATCGGCACATTTGACCTACCAGTAGTTTAGGTAATATTTCCTAACAAAAACAACATAAAGTTGCAAATGGTACCATTATTAATTTTTTAAATAAGAAAAAAAAAAGTAGTTTCTTTGTGAAATAGAGCATAAGTTTTCTGATTTTCCTACATATTTTTTTTGGATATTTGATATTATTTCTGTACATCAACCTTGTTCAGGTTTAGTTGTCGATTTACGTTAACTTATTAATTAAAATCAAAAGTAAAATGTAGTGGTTAGCGATAGACAATACTTTGAAAAATTATAATGTACACAATTTTTCACAATCACACACGCCTTGAATTTACAAATTTACGGCGTTTATCTCGAAAACTATGCGTTTAACGAAAAAATTGCAAGACATTTTCATCTTAATATGGTTCAAAGAACAAGAAAATACTTTTTATTTTGCCAAAAACTAAGTTCTCAGTATTTTGCAAGTTTCTTGTTAAAAAAAAACTTATCGACATCCGGGCAAACTTCTACCCAAAATATTCGTGTTCTGCAGCTCAAAATACACAAAACACACCTGGGTAACTCCATCTAAATGAAGGAGGCAATTGGGACCCCCCTGGCTACAGGACTAACAACCCATGTTTCGATATAGTTTAATTCTTCTCCTACGAAAAACGACAGACACTAAATTTAANGATATGGAAAACATTCAGTTCAATTCTTTTAATATAAATTTATTTTTGTTGGTTTTAATTATTTTAAATAATTTGTTTCAAATAATTTGGATAAAACGTTAACGTCGCCGCTATGTATGTAAGAGAGCCTTCTTACAGCCGTTTAATACACGATCTTGACGCGTACTCTTCATTTCTAGACCAAAGAAACGATTAACAATTTAATGAAAATTTGCAATATGACAATAATTAAAATTATTATACAAGTTTAAAAAATAATAATTATAAAAACACCTAAATTATACGATGTTGCCCTTTTAATATAAGTAAGTATAAACTTTTTTACTATCGTTTTTAAATAAAACTAATAATTTAGCTAATTTTTTTCATATAAATCGTATAATAATGTTTACAAAGCAAATTAGAATTAACGATGCAAATATTATATCTTTGATATTTCAAATTTTCCGCGTCTTTTTAATGCATTTTATTTTAAACGATTGTCATTTATTTCTAATACTTGTTTGTAGTCGCGCTTCAAAATTGCACTGAAGATGTAGAATTATTAACGTTCATATTACAAGAAGACGAACAGCTTCATTAAATCAGATCTTTGCATTATTTGTCAAAAAAATTTTAATTTTAATTATTGTAATATTGCAAATTTTCAATAAATTGTTAATGTTTCGTTCAGTTTTCATCGTTTCTTTGGTCTAGAAATGAAGAGTACGCGTCAAGATCGTGTATTAAACGCCCGTAAGAAGGTAACCACTCTCTTACATACATGGCGGCGCACCCTTCTGAACGCTCAATCGCTATTTGTTTATAACCTCAAATAACAGTGGAAAAAACAAATTTTCACACTGCAATTACTCACAATTTGTAGTATTTAACGTGAACTTTCAAACGCCATCAGCAGAATTACAAAATAACTATTCAATCAAAAGTTACTAACAAGTGAAAATCGCAAAATTCGCATTTTTCGAGTTTTTAACGGCGTTTATCTCAGAAACTATGCGTTTAACGAAAAAATTGCAAGACATTTTCATCTTAATATGGTTCAAAGAACAAGAAAATACTTTTTATTTTGCCAAAAACTAAGTTCTCAGTATTTTGCAAGTTTTTTGTTAATAAAAAACTTATCGACATCCGGGCAAACTTCTACCCAAAAAATTCGTGTTCTGCAGCTCAAAATACACAAAACACACTTGGTTAACTCCATCTAAATGAAGGAGGCAATTGGGACCCCCCTGGCTACAGGACTAACAACCCATGTTTCGATATAGTTTAATTCTTCTCCTACGAAAAACGACAGACACTAAATTTAAGTTTCATCCATATCGAAGCTTCACCGCAATAATAATAATAATTTAAGATTAAGTTAAGTCTAAGCGGTTGTACGACCGAAGGCGAGCTAAAAAGAACACACCGGACGTTAAAAAATTGTGCGTAAGGTCAAACAACGGAAGCTAAACGTTTGGAAGCACTAGCGTGACCACCATACCGAAACACCACGTCACATTCGGGAAAGAAAATCGAGGTACAGACACGAGTCTCCCGCAAACGACGGCTTGAACGCGTCATTCCGTATTCGAACGTGGCGTACTCCGCGAGAGGAGAAGCGCAACACTCCCCCTTCCAGCCAGTTTTGAGTTCAATTATAAAAATGGCAGCATCTTTGCTAAATGTACTAGGAGTCGTAGGGCGTTGACCCACAACTGCCGCAGGGGGGCGTATCGCAGCGTGAGGAAGTGCCACAGGCACATCACGGATATCACCTGCATCACCCTGTACGTCCAGTACAGGCGGGAGATTTGTTTTCTAGCCTTCGGGATGGAGGAGAGGTCTTCTTTGAAGATAAACCTGGGGGAAAGAGTAATAGAAATTTTTTCCGCTGCTACGGGTTTAAAAGTGAAAGCTCCGTTTATACCAGCTATGTAAACCAGCAGTCTTACTCCGTTGTCGGCACTACGATCATATTTAGCCGTCTTTTTTACACGCACTTGAAAGCGTAAAAGCAAATAATCGTGATCGGGATATAATTTAAAAATACTGAAATTATTCATTTAAGAATAGTTTTATTATTATTTCGCCATCTTTTTCTAATCGCCTTAGGTAGTTTATTGGCTATTTGTTAGTGGCAAAGTGTTATGTCATAAATTATAGAGTTTCGGAACTACTCGGAATTACGTTTTTCGTCAAAATGTTAAAATGTATGTAACAAAATCCTCGAGATTTATTTTTGTATCACATTCCTTAAAATTTTATTGGCACTCGTACTTGTAACTGAATTTTATATTTGTAATGTACAATCTTTCACAGCTGCCGTAGATTGAAGGTGTTGGAAACGACATAACTTTTTTGTACTTTAAGGTATCTCATCATTCGTATCAAATTCTTATTTTCCAACTTTTTTTACACAAAAATGGTAGACTTTATGAAAGTAGCTGTCTCGCACCGTTTCCAAGATATTTGGCTTTGAAACTTTCAATGCTAATAGTTGAAATAATTAAAATGTAGGTACTTAATTGTAATTTAATGCAACAGCACTGGAAGTTTCAAAGCCAAATATCTCGAACACGGTGCGAGATAGCTACTTTAATAAAGTGTACCTTTTTTGTGTGAAAAAAGTTGAAAAATAAGAATTCGTTACCAAAGATGAGATACCTTAAAGTACAAAAAAGTTATGTCGTTTTTAACACATTCAATCTACTGCAGCTAGCGCCCTCTATGAACTTCAACCAAAATGTGACCAGATTTCAATTCCTCTACTGAAAGAACTCCAAGCCCCAAAATTTTGTGAGGATATAAGGAATCAATTAAAAAAAACTGAAATAATGTTTTACATTTAACACCCTGTATCTCTTTAACTATCAATCAACTTTTGGACTAAGGTAAGTTTGGCTAAATCGCAATATTTTTACTTGGGGAATCTACTCACGAATTTTGACCCATTACCTCGGGATCACTCTGTATAATCCCTTGAACTCGAAACCTCTTGTGCAGAAAATACAGTGTTCCAGTTAAACACGTGATAGCGTTTTGGTGTCTAGGAAGCTACCCCTTAAGCAGGTGTTTTAAACTTTAAGTGGCACCCTATGTTGAGTGACACCTCATTTTAAAGCTTTTTCGATTCTGCTCACGACGACATACGACTTTTTAAATTTTGGTTTGGATGTGACAATGAAATCATCACAAAGAATAAGACAATATATTAATGAATGAAATAATATTATTTTATTAAACGTTTATGGTTTCCCTGCGCTTCCATACAAAATTTTTTCAAAACTTTTCGGATGTTATCTGATGACACTCTTTCGGTCGCGTTGCATAAATTTTCGACTTTAAGTGTCATCACAGAAAAAAGTCTAAGGGATTAGATCTGGCGATCTGGGAGGCCACTCAATTGAACCTCTGCGTCCATCATGTGCCCCTTGAAAAGAGAATCGACGTGGTTTCAGTTTTTTTATTTTTTTAATTCTGATTTTTTCCACGTGGGAAGTTTTAACTGGAGCACCCTGTATTATTTTTATATATTATGTATATATACAATTTTACACAATGGATTGTCTGAATCGTTAGAAAACATCTCATTATTACAATGTATACAATATCGGTAAAACTTTTTTTTAATCATGTATACATATTTTTTTAAATATAAATGTACAACCGACAAACGATTACCTCAAATATCTCTGTGAATATTCACAGATGAGCCGGCGAAGCAAGAAGAGCGCCAGAAGAAAGGGCCCTAGCCGGCGGGGCCCAGCCAGGACAAAAGGAGGTCCCACAAAGCGCCTACACCGGCCGCATTTGCGGTCGGGGTAGACGACGGATGGGGCCCACCTACGAAGGCTGTCCAGGCCTACACGAGATGAGGCAGGATAAAGAGGGATAATCCCCCTCGATCCCAAATCATTGAGGCCAATTTCTAGCCATGGAATAATGGCGCGTGTGGATATTTTTTGCCGATTTGAGCAAAATCAGTTTATACCAAAACTCTTCCTAAGGCGGCTAAGAACTCTTTGAATATGGCGCCGTTTATACAATTTTTCTTCAAAACGCTTTCAATTAAAACATCAAATTGTATACACTACACTTTGCGATAGGAATTATAGAAAGTGACTCGGACTTTTTTCCATATTTTCTATATCTTGTTACCTTTTACGCAGACATGCTGATGGATTTTCGATCCTCGCACGCTTCATCCTCCTTACTAGTCCAAGAGCTAGCGATGAGTCACTCTCTATAATTTCGACCGCGAGGTATAATTATTGATTTTCAGATGTTTAACCTGGACTTCCAAAGCCAACTTTTAATTTTTTAAATGAATTTAGTAATACGCAAAGAAATATGGAAAATTCAATTGGATTTTTTTTCAAAAACGGTACAATTTCCAAACTGTAAATTTTTTACGTTACGCGATATCCGTTCATGTGAATTTGCTGGTTTACATATGCCGCGTACAGGATGTAACTTTAAATGAGTGTCAGTTTTTTTGCGGGCAGTCGTACGCGTTTTATTACGTTTAACTTTATGTCAAATTTAAAGAGACTGTGTGTAGCCTAAGTATATAACCTTAAAATTTATTTATTTCAGTACGGTGTTTGTGTGTCTTCATTGTTAAATTCAAGGAAAATGAGTTTTAACAAAAAACAATACATGTCGTAGCTTCCAATTGGCTATGCGGCTAGCTCAACAAACTTATAAGTGTTTCTAAAGGTATAAATATGACCCCCAATCAAAATTACACCCTGTATATTTATAATTAAACACCCAGTCAAACATAGGAATTGAAATACTAAATGGCGACTCTTCGCTAAAATCCCCCGTTGTTTGCCACGGGGATTTTTTGCGAGTGCCGCCATCTAGTATTACCATCCCCAAGCTTGACGGTTAAATTATTATTACGATTTTAGTGACTCACCTTCTAATACCTAGGACGTAGTTTTCTATGTACCTCTCCCAATCTATTTTGGCCACATCGAAACAGAATTCTTTCTTGTCCGCCTCCCTTAACGTCAACGCCAGGTTCCTGACGTTCTCGTCATCGAAACTCCATTCTTGCGTAGTGAAATATTGTAGACAGCCCGCCGCTTTGCTCAGCTTGTTCTGTATTCTCAACAGACTAAAAACGGAATTAACGTATTAATCTTAATAAGATATCAACGAATCGTTGCCCTTACATCGGTTTACCTCCCATCAACCACACCAAAGAGTCTAAGATATAAGCCGGCACCCAATGGAGCAGGTACTGATTCACCAGGTTCAAGGGCCTGCAGATGGTAATCGTACCGTCGGGGTACCACGTCATTTCTGAGAGGGGATATTTCCTGAAATACACGAAACTCAAGTCTACGAACCTTTTCCACGTGATGGGTTTTCTTTGACCTGCGACAAAAATTCATTCAAGTTTGGGTTATTTCCAAGCGTTAAGGGTTACCGTACCGGAACAACAGTTGTATACTTGCAGCTCCCTGGATCTCGTGGTGCCCACCCGCCACGCCGCCGCGATCATTAGGTTTATGACCATATCGACGGGCACCAAGTCCGCTACTTTGTCCGGGTGGCCCAACATGCTCCGGAAAACGCCCTTCCCCGCGGCGGCTATGATTCCTGAAAGCAGTACCATGAAAATTAATCTACGTTTTTACAAGTATTGTACGGCGTGACCCGGAACGGACAGTTGGTTGTCATTACGGGCAAACGAAATGAGCAAATAGGAAACCTAAGGGGGGATGTTATAACAATTTGACTGAAAATTTCATGTTTGTAAGTTAACCGCTATGACGGCTGTTATTTTTTCAAAAAAAAATTTTTCGCTATATCTACCCGTAAAAATTATACAGGGTGTTTTCTAGATGCGGTCCATAACTTCAGGGCACAATTTCTTATGATATTTAAAGAAAAAAAAGTTCCTATAAACATGTGGCCGGAAACGCAGAGATTCTGAGATACAGGGTTGAAATTAAAAAAAATTGTTAATATTTGAAATAAATTTGAATGTCAGTGTTAGGTTCTTAAAATTTGGCAGTTATTGTACGTTGGTAAAGAGCTGAATTTTTAGTATAAAGTCAATTTTTATCTGCCGCCAGTGGCATAGTTAGCCGTGAGTCAGTCGATGTTTTCATGATAAAATGAAGAACACCTATAGATTTTTTATTATTTTTGGACTTGCCTAACATTTTACAGCAAAACAAGGTGTCTTGAATTTTTTGCCTAATACTAACTTATTCTTAAAAAAATGGCCGGTAACTACAAACAACAATCGTAGAAATAATCAGTTTTGACACAAAATCAAAGCAATGTTGAAAATGGCCACCTTCCGATAAAACGCACGATTCCAATCGTTTCGTCACTAATTGTCTCATTCAAAAATTCCTCGAGAATTTAGTATGACTTCAAACTTGTTTTGTTACAAAACGGCTGCTTTCAGCGACAAATACCAAGAGTACCTTTTGTACGTAAACTTAAATGGAGAATAGGTATGTTTAGGAACAAATAACATACAGTGTGACACAAAGATGTTATGGTTATTTAAATCCAGGTACAACATTGTATGTGGCCCCCCAATAACATTAAACAAAAAACTAAGTATGTAAATATTTGAGTTTCTCATCATCAATACTCCCAGTTTCCCAATTTTCGTCAAATTGCAATGTTTTTGAACAAAAATTAATAAACACCCTGTATACAGGATGTGTCACGCTACCAATGTCTCCGAAATGAAGAAATTTGTTTTAGTTCCAGAAATGGGGGTTGTTAGGTCCCTCGAATAGCTTCAAATTGCAATTAGAATTGTTAGTTCAAATCTTTCTGTATAGATGGCGTGGCGATAATAAAACTTTTTTTTATTCTTGGAACGTGGAAATGCGGTTTGTCTGAAAGATCGTTAAATTTTGAGTAATTTTTGTATTATAAAGTTTTTCCCAATATTTACTTGTTTTCGAGACATGTCTATATGCAATGTATGATGTAAAAGGAAGATCTGTTATTTTATTTAAATCACACTGAGACAAAATACTCTTTTAAAATATTGTTATAATGACTTTATTCACAACACATATTAACTAACAAACAATAAATTAAAAAAAAAAAATAAATGATTAATACAGAAACAAAAATTGTACAATGGCAAATCTTATAAAGGGCAGAGACGAACCATATTTTATCAAATATTATTAAAAAATTCAGTCATAGTTGGCTCATGTCATTTGTTTAAAATAAAACATGTATGACAGATGACACATGTTAGTTTTCCAATAATTATAGTTTTATCAGCTTGCGTCTTTCAATTTAACTAAACTAAAACTGCTGTATCTTTTCCATTGCGTCACAAGCAATATTCGTATGAACTAAGACGAAAAATCCTAGTCAAATTAGTCACTGTTTTCATATAATTGAAATGTCATCTTGAGAATTCCCAAATCTGGATTTCTGGCAAATTTTAATACTGGCGTTACTGAGTATGAAAATATGACAAAAAATCGATATTTCAACGCTCAGAAAATATATACAGGGTGTGCCATTTAACACTCCCGCTGCCAATATCTCCGAAATGAAGAAATTTGTTTTAGTTCCGGAAACTGGGGTTGTTAGGTCCCTCGAATAGCTTTAAATTGCAATTAGAATTGTTAGTTCAAATCTTTCTGTATAGATGGCGTGGCGATACCAAAACTTTTTTTTATTCTTGGAACGTGGAAATGCGGTTTGTCTGAAAGATCGTTAAATTTTGAGTAATTTTTGTATTATAAAGTTTTCCCCAATATTTACTTGTTTTCGAGACATGTCTATATGCAATGTATGATGTNTACGTTTTTTGGTGAGGAACCCCCTTAAGACAATTTTTCATGGGCCCCCTTGTCTTTCGAGCCAAAAAAATTTGGTCGCATATTTAAATTTCTTAAAAATTATCTGTTTCACTAGGAAGCCATTAAATTTAGAAACTTTTTGTCTCTTTATACTTTTTTTGTAAAACGCAATGTTTTCGAGAAAAATGTCAAAATGTGATCGAATGCATATCGTGATTCGCCATTTTCCTCAAAAACATGAATTTTATGAAAGAAATATCAAGAGAAAAAAATTTCTAAATTCAATGGTTTTCTAGCTAACTAATAATTTTCAAAAAAATCAAATTTGCCACCAAATTTTTCTAATTCCAAAGACAAGTCCTCCATTTTCTTTCACTCTAATACACATAAAATATTGGAACGGTCGTTTGTGATAGATTGAGACTATCAAGACATTTATACCATCATTGCATCTCTTTTTAGCACGTTTAATAATGAATACAGGCCCGCAACGACCGTCTTTGATATTAGGACAAACGCGTGACGTAATGGCAATCTTAAAACGGTTCTACTTATATACTAGTTACTCGATAGGATTTTTTAGAAAAAAGTGTTTGAATTTGTTTGAATTAACCTAAATATCTTTAAAATAGAGTAAAAAACATGAAAGTCGATAATAGAATAGGTTCAAGAAAATAACCAACCTGTAGGACCGTTCCAGTTGTCCAGCCAGCCCGGCAGGGGACCGTTAATACTACTTAAGACTATGCTGGGCCTGACGATGACCACGGGCAGGTCGCCCTTGTTGTCCTTCAGCCAGGACTCGGCCAGCGATTTGGTGAACGTGTACGTGTTTGGCCGCTTGCCCACCAGCTTGGACGTCAGGGAGTCTAGGAGGTCTTCGTCCAGCACGTCTACGAGCGAGGTGATCTGATTCGGGCCTATCGACGGCGGATATACCACTTCTTTGACCTCCGACCTGTCGCAGTTGCAGTACGCTGTAGATACGTGCACCTAAACACGATTATTATGGATATAATTGAAACGGGAGACAGTGCCGTGTCGTTATTCGTACCAGACACTCCAAGTGGTTCATCTTCTTGCAGAGCTCCACCAGCCTCTGGGTGCCCAGCACGTTGATCGTTACAGAGAGCTTCAGTTTTTCATCGAATTTTATGGTGGCGGCGCTGTGGAACACAACGTTGACGGTGCGCGTCAGCAGCGCTATGTTGGAGGGGGTTATGGCTAGTTCGGGCTGCGTGATGTCGCCCTCGATTGGCTGCACCTTGGCCAGGTCGGCGGGGCGCTCCTTACGCAGAGGGTCGAATAGCTGTAAAAATTCAACTGCTACAATAATATAAAATTTACGTTTATAGTGGACGATCGGATGTTTTTATAGCATTGAAAATTATAATAATTTCTTTAATCCACTGCAACAAGAAATATTTATCAGTGGCGGACCTTCTCCAACACCTGATTTAAATCCTATAGATGTTTGTATATTTAAAATCCTTAATATACTCTACACAAGCCTGTTCTGTTGGTAGAGTTATGAAACACCCTGTATATACGAAAAATGGATGAAGTGTTTATCCAAACATTTTTCCTCGAAATGATTTAAAACTTTCAGTTATTAGACATGCGTTAGACAAACATGAGGTTATGCATATTGTTAACCTGTAATTGAAATATGCTGAGATAATAAAAGTGTACATATTAAATATTTATTGTAATATACATTTTAATATTTATATTTGATCTCTTGACTTTAAATATTTAAATAAAATTGTTTTATGCTGTGTCAGTTGTGCTCAGCATGACAATGATATTTGTCTAAGAATTTGAATAAACACCATTTTTCATATATCGATGATGAGAATTTTAGGAGAGCGAAATTTCCACTGGAATTAGATCATAAAACTTGAAAACTTGAAAAAATTATTAGTGGACATATTATCGCACAGGCCAGGCAATCCTTATCCTGTGTGCAGGCGGTCATAAAGTGAAATAAAATGTCTACTAATAATTTTTTCACGTTCAAGCTATAAATCGACTGGAGTACCTATTGTTAATATTTCAAAAATGGTGGAAAATATAGATCATTCACCATTCTTTTCAGTGATATCAAAAGAGACATGCAAGAACGGTATGGCAAGTGCTGGCTTTAATTTCTTGTTACGTTTGCAATAAGGAGTTTTCAGGAGAGGATTATAGATTATTTAAACTCGATAAGGTTTTAATCCTTCTAGTCTTAGCAGCTAGGATAGGTCTGGGTTCTGGAAGTTTCTGTTTAGACATGTCACTAAAACTGTATTAAATTCTTTTTGTTTATTTTTTATTAGGGGGGGCGGGGGTGAGGTTAGATCTACAGTTTTATCATATAAAGTTTTGTGTAGAATTATTAAAATTTGCTATTTTTTGATGCAATATTGCGAAATGCTATTTCTGCATTCGAGAATGCAGAAGAATTTCGCAATCGACTATCAAAAAACTTATTAAAAATGTACAGAAAAAATGTTGACATTTAAATTTAATTTATTTGACATGTGCATATGTCATCTACAATTAGGTATCAAAATATACTTTGATTACCTGTTAAATTGATAGATAATTAAATTGGTTATTATTAATTACTGTTAAAATTTATGATTTTGTTGATAGAAAAAAAAATAAATTGGGGAAGTGATTATATCACCCATAATTTCATTATTCTGTAGAAAAAAAACTGCTGTTTTGACATCTAATAAATATCATGTAAAAATCAACTTTCAATGACAGTTTTCGAAAAAAATAATTTTCTAACCATGCATCTCAATTGTTCACGTCATCGTCAACCGCTTGTCAAGAACATTAATGCCAATTTTGTAGATAAACCATGCACTAAAGTGTGAACTTAACAATTGTAAAAATAGTTTTAGACTTAACAAAGGAAAATATTAGTACATATTTTATATGTCAAAGTAGAGGTGAGAAAAAATGACAGTCACTGAGGCAAACATTTGATCTACAAATGTGATGAATATTGTGAAGAATGTTGTACTGAATTCAACAAGAAATTAGAAAATGCAATATTATTCAGGGTGTTCCACCTGAAAAATAAAAACAAATTAGGTAGCGCAAAGAAGAAATACCACAAATAATACGTGAATATTGAAAATGATTTTAAAATATGAAGAAATTTATTTGGTGGAACAGGAAAGGAAAAATATGACTTAAGTGAAACATAGTATGAACTATTTTCCAATTAATATCCGATTCCTGCTTCTCGTTCTGCTACGCTATAGGGAATACTATAAAAACGTCAAAAGAGAACACCGTTTTAACATTTTTTCATGTGCGTAGCTAGGGGGGAGCAGGGGTGTGCACGCCCACCCCAGGAAACCCGGTACCCACCCCAGAAAAAAAGATCTAATATTATCGTCTTTCATATTGGCACATATTTTGTGGAATTAATACTATTTACATTTGACCCCATATTGATTATAAATTATACGAGTAATATTCCAATTCCAATTAGTTTCTAAAATAGACAAATAGTTACCTAGAAAATTGCTCCCTATTTTTGAAAAAAAAAAAACTGTTTATAGAAACGTCTATTATTAGACCGCTCCGGGGAAAAAGTCCCGGAAAAAAATCCAGGTAAAGTCCGGGGGACAACTCTGGAGAAAAGGCCGGGGCAAAACTTTGGGGGATAATTCCGGGGAAAACTCCGGGGAAGATCTCCGGTATTTGGTAGCAAAAATAAGTCAAAATTGGTCCTTTTTAGAATAAAAAGTATATTTTTTTCTTAGAATCACCACAATTAATTACAAGCAGCGACTTTATAATCAAATTTAGTAAATGTTTAATTTTAATCAGGCAAATTCTGCTTCCATAGAGCTTGCAGCCCAGAGCCAACGTCAAGCAAAAATTCTAGCTACGCCCATGCATTTTTTAAGAGAAGGCGGAATAAATATGTAGAACACCTTGAGCACGTCCAAACATTTAGAAACACAATTAACGAAACTGTCACCGGGTCAAGCGGAGAAAGTGAGGAATTCTACCTACTAACGCGAATCGCGTTATAGTAAAATTTTCCAGAGTTATCGAGATGCCATCGAGAATTTTATGACGGGGAAAGGTATGTGGAATGACAATATCAACAATTACCCTCGAAAGAAGTGACGCTAAGTTGGCAAATTGAAAATAAGTGATAAATTTAGGTGTTTTTTTCACTTTTTTTACTGCCCACGTAAATCTAGATGACCTATCGGAATATTAGTTATTTTATGTTGTAGGCAATTAAATTACCTACAATTTAAGATACCTACAGTCATATTTCAACAATTTGTAAATAGTCCAGTTACTCAGGGTTTTTACCTCCGAATTCTTTATAACTGAACCGATTGACGTGAAATTTTTACTGAATGTGGGGAATGCCTTAAGGAACAAAACTTATATAGTGCCGAAGTGTGCTTTTGCCCTGGGGGTGGTTCCCACCCTTCTTGGGGGTGGAAATTTTTACTCCCAAAATAACTACAGGAATCGATAGAGGAGTCAATTTTAAGTAACAAATGTTATATAAAGTTTTTTGGATAATCTAATACTTTCCGAGTACTTTCCGTCATTGAAAATGTTGATTTTTTACCGAAAAAGTGCTTGTTTTCGGACAGTTTTTTGCAAATAACTCTGAAACCATTGGATTTAACGAAAAAGTTGTAATGAACAAAAAGAAAGGTAATAAAAAACAAATCTAATGGCATTATTTTGTTTTTCTCTAATTGCAATATAAACCGAGTTATGGATTTTTAAATATTATTATATGTTGGCTAAAAACTAAATTGGAACCAGTTAACGTTATATAACGCCAAAACAATAAATATTAGGAAACAAACTATTTGAACCTTTTTAAAAGTACTTTGAAAAACCTTTAAAATGAGCTGTTTTAAAAGTATTTAAAATCAAAATTAACGGAAATATGATCGAAATAACATGATAGTCCCATTTTTTTAAGAAAAAAATAATAAAAAATCAGTGCCTTTGGCGACAGAATTAAAATTAAATGCAATCCATTTACAGATTTCTTCATTTATGTTCTAAGAATATGTTCTGGGTCTTTGGCTCATTTACAAAGCATGATTTCGAAAAAAAACTTAATGTTTGAAAATGTTAATTTTTCAAATTTAAAAAAAAAATCGATTTTTACGCTGTAACTTAAAAAATAAAGGGTGTACGAAAAAAATAGAGTAAAAAAAATAGCTTTATTTTTGCTGAAGATTTTGCTTGCTTTTGTTTATTCCTCTAAAATTAATATTAATCGAGATATCGCCATTTTAAGTTACTATATGAATGAAAGAACCATCCTTTTCGAGCCTTTTAAACCCTTCAAACTTAAAAATGAAGGGCTTAAAAAAGATCAACTCTACAGTTCACGTAGCCCTTACAATTCCCTGCAAAATGAGCATTTGTCCGATTAAAAATCTTAGAATGTAAGAAAGTTATCGTCAAAAAAATAAACACGTGTATAGGGGAAAAAATATATATATAAATGTACGGGGTAATTTTTATGACTGAAAAGTTGCAATCAATTCAAAATTATTTTATAAGAAGGGAATAATTGTTTATTTAATACGAATGCACATTTAAAATGTTTCTACTCTTTCAATAATATTTTTTCATTTTATTTTCAAAAGAAGGGTTATTTTTCAAGGGTTGAGCAATCGATAAAAAAGATTTTTTAATCAAGAAATCAATTTTAATTTGATAAAAATGCATGATTAAAACGTTTCAAGTTGAAAAAAAAATTTTATATTATTTTCATCCAAAGTAGTTTTTAAAAATTTTTCCGGGATGAAAACTTGGGATACATTAAGTTTAATGTTAGATAGCACATGAAATTACTCATACTGCATAAATAAAAAAGATTTGATTACATAAAAGGCTTAAATTTATATTTTTTCTTTTTTTTCCAATTAGGGGTGTTTTTAACCCCTTAAGAACAAAAAGCACACCTAGCGCATATATAAGTTTTGAAGTGGAGGGGTAAGATGAGCCTAATTCTAAATTTTGATAAAAATCGATGCAGTTATAAAAAATTCGGAGGTATTACTATATTTTCAGCTACAGTAACTGAGCTATAACTGTAAAATATAGGTCGAACGCGGAAAAATCAGTTTTCGAAAATTGTGCATTACCATTGCAAAAAGCGATGGATGTTGATGAAATTTATAGGAAAAACGGTCAATCCAAAGACCAACAAGAAGTTAATATCGTTGATATAGGTTCTAATTGATCCAAAGAAACGCATCGAAAAAGAAAAATTTCAAAAAGCTGAAATAAAGTTGCAACTAACAAAGTAGGACTTGCAAAACAGCGTTATAAACAAATTGTCACAGGGTCAGGCAAAAGCCGCTCGGGAATTCGCTCTTTTCACTTCTTTCTACATACCTTTCCCCCTCATAAAGTGCAATAAAATGTCTACTAATAATTCTTTCAAGTTTTCAAGTTTTATGATTTAATTTGACTGGAGTAGTACTTATTCAGAACGGTGACAACACGTTTATTGTAGGGGATTTACTTGATATATTGGTCTGATCATAGGTTGTAGTTATGCATTACTCGCTTTAGATAAGCCTTGGTCCAAATTTTTGATCTGCAATATCTCTGTGAATTCGATCAAACGCCTATTTATAGTGATAATAACATTGTATTGACAGGAATATCCTTAATTCTAGATAGAAATCGTACACAGATAAGATTTTTTTAATGAAAACTTGAAATTTGAAACGATTTAATGAAAAGCGGTAGAAGTATGTAAATTTTAACAATTAAACACTTGAGAAGTTCGAGATAACGAATTAAATAATTTGGAAGGATCCTTATTCTGACTGATATGTGTCTATCAAAAAAAAACGTTAGCAGATTTCTAATAGCGGCATTTTTTTCTTAATATTACTTGCATGTTTTTACTGTAATTTTAACTGCTCAGCACCTATTTCGGACGAATGGCCTAATAAAAATTCCTTCTTCGAGTTATTTTACGTAATATGCATAGAATTCGTATTTTCCGAAGCATCAGACGAAAAGCAGTCCGATCGATTTTCGAGAAAAACTGAACGGCGAAACCGCGTCTCGATATCTTGATTCGTTAAAGAGATACATGGCGTTTTTAACTAATGTCGATATTTTTACGTCATCCAATATACTATTCTGCTTTCAAGATAAAAAACGTCACGGAAAGCAAATATTTTTAGGCGAAAAAATATTTACATCACCGAAAATAAACAAAAAAATTTAAATAATTATCAACTAATTCAACTAATTTCTGATTTATATATTTCAGAGAATACAAGAAACCCCAAGGAGACTAAATTTTGAGCAAAAAATTCAGATAGGTTTTCCATGTAGATTCAAAAAACGGAGATTAGCTATCAATAATCACCATTTCCTATATTTTTTGTCTATACGCCAATGATTTTTTGAATTTACGAAATTACTTTGTATTTAAAATTCTATTTCTAACAAAAAATTGTAAAACGAACAGCTTTAGTGCTATTTTCGTTAAACTCATTTTAATATAAGAAAACAGAACTTTAAAACGGCCTGTTTTTGAAGAATGTTCGGTGTTATTGGTAAAATCTTTTCTTTAAGAGGTCAAGTTTCTTGGAGGAAACTCCCCAAACGTCAAAATTTCGAGTATTTTTTTTTTAAATGGAAATAAAATTATCTTACCGGAGAACACAGAAGCTGCTGCAGCCTCTCTTGTGCGTCTTGCCCCTTCAGCGGCCTGATGAGGAGGTAGATCTTGGACACGCCGGGACAGGCCCTGAGCAGCTTCTCCAGCAGCACCTTACCCATGAACCCGGTGCCGCCCGTGATGAACACGGTCTTGCCGTTGTAGAAGTCGCTGACTCCCGTGGGACCCGCCACCGGATTCTTCATGGCCGACATGGCTGCCTCCTGGTCGACCATCTACTCGAGGGCGTGCTTCTGTCTGTCTGTCTGTCGCGCTCTCTCACAATCTCACGGCGGATGTTACTTTTTCATCTTCCGCGGTTCTCTCCGTACCGTGAGCGGTTCTTAGATCATTATTTCGGTTTTCTCGCACCTGCCGAAAAATAAAAAAGATGAAGATCTTAGAGGTTGCGTGCGCGCGTGGTGTGAGGCGAGATCGCGCGACACTACTGGCTATAAGCGGCCTTCTAAGAAACACATAATTCCGTTTAAGATAAGCGTGATAAGTTTATTGACTTAAAATTAGGTGTTCTATGAGGACGAGCAGGTGTGAATGTAGCGATTTGGGTGGTATCTGTCGCATTTTATTGCACGGCACTGCTTCCGGAGGAGTAGACCAAGCAAATAAAATTTTAATAATAATAATATAATATAATTAACAATAATATTATTACTGGTATCCAGCCGTCTGCAAATATATTCATTATAATTACTGTTTATATCACAAGAGGCACAATGTTAAGTATATAAGCCAGGTTATCGAAACTTAACAAACGTGGTCTTGTGGCTTAAAGTGTTACGCGTCGTCATACTAATCTAAACGTTCGGGGTTCGATCCCTGATGAGGTACGGTTTTTTTTTCAAATAATATAATATTTCGAATGTAATTTTCTATCGTCCATATTTCAAGACAAATATTTCCGCACCAGTTGCTGATCATGAAGTGAATAATCTCTCACGGTGTTGCCAAATATCTGCTGATTCGAGGAGCGCTAGATTGCTTATTAAATTCTGCCTGAAAATCGTGAAATATAAAATACAGATAAGTAGGTAAGAACAAGCAAATTAAATTTTTACTCGAAAAAAGTCCTATCCGCGAGATTATTGTAAAATTGTCTAAAGGAACATATAATACAAGACATCTCTCGTCTCGTGAATCAAAAATTTTTATTAGCTAACTTTTCTATTTAAACAAATAAGTGAGGAAAATAGTTTTTTCACTTTGCAGGGAAAACCATCAATTTTAGCGAAAAGTGACTCTCAGACAGCTTGTAGGGAGTAAAATTATCTACAAAATGAGACTTGTTAAATTAAAATCGGTTAATAAACAAAAAAGTTATTGCAAAAAGACAAGAAAAGTGCCCATTATTTAATTTGTTTATAACTATCGCATTTATTGTTAAAATTTTATAAAACCTATGACAAGTTGAGGGTTTTATCATACTTTAAAAGTGTGCCAAAAGTGGGCGCTGTAGGTGCAATAGTTTTCGCACAATTCTATTTGTTTATAGCCGAGGCTCCAAAAGTTATGAACTTTAAGCCTCTGTACAGACGTTAATTTTCAATCAAACATGATTCTGAAAGCGTCATTGTAATCTTAAAGACGCAATTAAGCGACCTATTAAAAAATATCACCGTTTTTTTGACATTAACATTCTCAAATTGTGCATTAAAAAACCGTGCGTTTTTCGCTTATAAACAATTTGAATATCATTGTTGCTATTTATGCTATCTCACTGAAAATAGATGCAATGGATAGCTGGCAAAAAAAATACAGTTTTAAAATAAAAAAAGTACCCTCTACGACCAACAGGAGCCAAGATAAGAATTTTTTTTTAATCGTAGCGCAATTGTTTAAAATATTAAGACTCGCAAAATACAGTTTTGAGGTAAACTACGATTTCCCGTCAATTGCATTGAAAAATGTGGAAAATTAACGACTCACGAGCCCTTTAAAGAGAAGGTACTCGCTAAGTAAACTGTCCGGCGGCCGGCGGCGTGGTAGTGGGGGAAGCTCGTCCAAGCGGTCGCGCGCGCGAGAAAAGTGAAATCCAAAGTTCAAATTGATGCGCTCTGTAAATTTTGCAATATCTCGGCTTCTATTTATCGTAGAAACTTATTTACGAAAAAATAACGATGGGCATATATACGAATTCGTAGAATAGCCTTGAACCCCAGAAAAAATGTATCTTTTATACTTGATTTCTTTTAATTTACAAAAATGTCACAAAAATTATTGTTAAACGAAATATTAATTAAAATTTCAATTTCGGAATTATTTTACTATTATTAGATAAATAAATGAAACTATCGTTCATTTAAAAAGTTATTTTTTTACATATTAAGGCAAACTAAACTTGTTTTTTCAATATTTTGTTAGCTATTTAATTACGATTTAAATGTAAAATTAAAGTGAAAATTCATAAATTATTTTCCTGAAATCCGTCCGCCTAACGCTTCCGGTTACACCGGAAGTTGTCGTTATCTTGTTATTTTAAAAGGAACGCCCCGTATATTATTGCATTTTAGGATTCTACGTGATATTTGAGGGTCAATTTATTAAATATTCCCTATACCTAGGAATTATAGTTTGATATATTAATTTTTAAAGAAAAAATTTGACAGATGTGAGGGTCCGCGGAGAAGCTAGTACCTCTTTTCAGGAGCGTGATATCAAGCGGATTTTTGGTACCTGCAAAGGGCATAGGTAACACTACATTATGGTGTACCAACAAATTAAAACATTTAATACTAGGTGTTTCATTTTTGCTGTTACAGTTTGATAACTTCAAACAGCTATAACTTTGTTAACTTTAATAGAACACTCTGTATTTTTTTTATTCTGTCGTATGCAGATTCAAATTTTCTTTCGAGCCATATAATCATTATTAGTTAATATAATAGATATAGGTTCTAATTGATCCAAAGAAACGTATTGAAAATTAAATTACCGCAAAAATGAGCTCTATTTAATGTAAAAAGAGCGAATTCCCGAGCGGCTTTCGCCTGACCTTGGGACAATTTGTTTATAACGCAGTTTTGCACGTCCTACATTGTTAATTGTAAAGGACGTACTTCATTTCAACTTTTTGAAACTTTTCTTTTTCGATACGTTTCTTTGGATCTATTATAATCTATATTTACGATTATTAACTTCTGAAATTAACGTTTAGTAATTAAACAATTATATAGTTGCAAAAAACGAACGAAATTAATTCATAAATAGGACCTGGAGCAACAATTTCAAGGTCAATCGAATCGCATTTGGCACACATGTTGGTCTTTGGATTGACCCAGTCTTTTCAACAAATTTCATCAACATTCATCGCTTTTTGCAGTAATAATGCTCAATGCGTTCAACCTTCATTTTCGTAGGCAGTAAAAAAGTGAAGAAACACGTAAATTTGTCGCTTATTTCCAATTTGCCAACTTAGCGTTACTTCTTTCGAGTTTTTTGCAATAAAATGTCTACTAATAATTTTTTCACGTTCAAACTCTAATTCGACTGGGGTATGTGATCAATTCAGGGATCTAATAAAGCTCGCGAACATCCCCTTTACCCATTTTTTTGTATATGCGCCAATGGACGCATGATTTTCTGAAAATTCCCACGATATTGCAGCTTTTGTTAGATTTTACCGCTCTTCGAGCATTTTAAAATTATTTTAAAGAAATGTTTCGTGTACCACTAACGATGTAGAAATAAAGGGGTGTGATCTTTCAATAACACATGCCGAAAACATCTCCTTGGAGGTCTCGCTACAAAAGTATTTATAATACACAAACGCATGTGTTGGGCTAATGCTTTGTCGAACTGTTCTGTACTTATAAACACGCTGGTGCTCATAAAAACGAGTTGTCACGTTTTTTTGAGTTTGTTATTTACAATAAACCTTGTATTGCTTACGGTATCATTCGAATGCACAAAGTTAAATGTGGAAAGACAGTGACGCAATGAAGGTTTACTGACAGTTTATATTGAAAATACTGAAATTGTGATTACAAAAATTGGCCTTGAAAAACATTCCTTTAATGAACATTTTCCTCAGATTCCACCTAAGCATTTTCTTATCATTTACACAACTTCACACTTTACATTGATAAGAGTAGCAAAGAATACATTTTATGTTTGTCATAATATAATGAAAACATAAAATGGTTTGTTATTTTTCACCCATACGTACGATTTTTTGAATAACAGGTTAACCGCAAGGATTTTTTGATAGTATTCGTGAGAAAAATTAATTAAACCACAGTAAATTTGATTATGTCTCCTGTGTATGTACCTAGGTATTTCATAGAAAAAATAATTTGCACGATTACTTAGAATTGCTTTTTTAATATAAACACATAATATCTACAAAGATACTTATCTGTTTAGCAGTATCAATCAGACTTTTCTTCTGGTTAAAATAGAGTTTCTAAAATTAGATCACCACATGTAACTTTTTGTGTCTGCAAGAAAAACGATATCTTTCATTGTATTCAAAAAACGAACCTACCTATTTATTAACTTTAATTACATGAATTATTAGTTTCGTCGTTCAGAGATATTACAGATTTTTTTTTATATTTTAACAGCCTGCATCTCGAAAACTTTCGAGTTGCAGACTTTCATAACATTTTTAATTAAAAATTACTCAAAGAAGGGTTAGGGTTTGTCGATGTACTTAAAATCCTGTACAATTTTTTTTTAATTAGAAAAATGCACACTAAAATTGTAAATAAAAGTTCATTGTTTTCCTTTGTTCTCTAGGAAAAAATGCTACAAACCAGTTTTAGAAATTTTCTTGACATTTCAAACAAATATATGTGCTTATTTACCTAAACTCAAGATTGCCATGGAACCAATGCATATGCAGGTCTTCAAACGTAAGAAAAAATAAATATACTATAAAAAGTGCATTATAAAAAAAAACTTGCTTGGAATATACGTCCTTGAAAAGAGTATTATGAAACAACCATTAGTAAAGAGATATTTTATATTCATAAAGAATTTAAATATTTGTTTGGTAAACTTAGTAAATTTACTATATAACAGGAATACATATACCCACGGCACGCGGTGGTTCCATGGCTGACTATACTATATGCAGGATCGGTGGTAAATAAACGAAAATATTGTGTAAATTGTAAATTATCAAAACAAACAAGTCTTTTTTCTCCAAATCCAACTAAGTACAGCAGTACCAAATTATTTTCTCGGCAGTATTTGCTTCATTTTGTTCAACATTATTTGAGACTTATTTTCTTCCTTTTCCTTACTGGACACGTTTCCATTTTTCGATCAAATATTAATATTTTGGGGTTAAGTAGCCCAGTAGCCACGAAATATACTTTATCCCAATCAAGCAGCCTTGCGCTAGGTGGCGA